GAATTGGAGAGGTTTTATTTAAAATTTCCTTAAGATTTTCTACTTACAGTCTCAAGAGAACCAACATTGTATAGCTTAAATAACTAGAGAATGTTGATGTTGACTACATTTATAGCATAAAAGCAAATACTTATTCTTGGGTGATTGGGTTGGATTTTGTTTTCTTAGTGGTCAATGGTGGTTTCTCCTAGTTGTAATGTTTTTAGGACATTTGTACATTATATTTAGTAATTCCTGCTTTTTTATTTAGTAGTATCTCCCTTTCACAAAAATCCAGGAGTTGAAGGAGTCTTGCCACATGTTCAGCCTAAACGTGTCTAGGGAGAACGACTCCCTGTAAAGCTAAAATAGTGCATATCTTAAAAAGTGTCAGTGTTTTTAACCGTTCTTCGAGTATCTTTGAGTCAGTTATTTTACTAGACTGGGTAGTTTCTTTTACATTATGAAAGTAGAATAATATGACTCTAGTTACTGAGGGCAAATGTCCACTAACAATCAAAATTAAAATTTTTACCTTCTATTCCACATTTAGACACCTGGTTAGGTTTTTAGCATCATGCAGTTGGTTCTTGGTGTATAACATGAGGACAAATTTAGGTATTGAAAGGGTGGAAAAATAGGTTGTTGGGTATAGATAGACTTAATTTAAATTGGTACTTAAAAGCCAGATGAGGCTGCTCTGGTTTATTCTTGTAATCTTTATTTAGTCTGTTTCAATTTTAGACACTTTACCAGCTGCATTAAGTTTCTACCATATTAACCTGAAATATGCTAAAGAAAATAAACTGAGACAAAATAAATTAATTTTTCTGTTTTTCCCTTTGACTTAACATTTCACGATCAGACTTGGCTGGTATTCCAGACCCAGGGTGCCAGAAAAGTAAATAATGTACAATACTTAGGCTTAATTTCAATAGCCATGTTTTGTTATGGCCAATTACGAATTTTAGCGATGGTCTCAGGCTTCTAAATAGGAGGGGGCAGTAACTCCTATAAATACTAGATTCCAAATGGTGTCTCTCCATTCCAGCCCATCACAACAGTTTTTAAAACCTGTTTTTGTTTTTGTTTTGTTTTGTTTTGTTGCTTTATTTTGTTTTTTTAACAGGAGAGCCAGTGTAACTCCTTCAAGACTGGAGTGACACACTCTGCATCTGCGTCTGCCTCATGTGAGTTCTCATTTTGGCAGCAGCACTCTGCTAGGCTGGAACCTCTGTAGAGGTTTGCCCTTTTTTCCCCCCCAAAAATCTGTAAACGACTACCGCAGTGTGTCTTGATGGCAAAGGTAAAAAGTGCATGAGAATTCCAGACTCCCTGCAGAAAGTTTCTGGCTCGGTTCAAAGGCACGGTCCCCCCTAACCTGAATTCTGTCTCTACGGACAGCATCTACTCAAACAGAGCTCACAGCTTTCATCCCCACAAGGTGCAGTGGCTGTCTTTTGAAGAACTGTTTCTTTCCTCGCAGATGATGGTGGAGTAAAAAATATCTTTAAGTGCTCTCAAGTAGCTTTAGCTTTCAAAGCTTTGGTTGTTCTCTTTATAGGCTAGTTACGTAACTTGAGAACACCATGTGCTGCCCAAGTGGCCGAAGCAGCCCTCCTTTTTGGACTCTGGCCTTTGAAATAACTTTTTCCTTTGTTTTTGGATGTTGGGTAAATTAGGATAGGCCTGAGGACTTTGTCGAGGAAGAAATAAGCAGTACTTGTTGTGAGGTAATGCGTACTCTGAAGCTACTGGCTCTGTTTTGGGAAGTCAGTTGAAAGAGTTGAGCTTGAAACTGCATCATTTGCTGGCCAGTTTTGCGAGAGAAATTGAAATCAGAGCCTCTGCAGCTGTGGGGAGACAGAGGGCTCTGTAGTCGGAGGTAGTATGTATGGTTCCCCACAACATCAAGGCTGGCCTCGTTTATAAAAGGAGTTTACTTTATTTATTTACTTATTTACTTATTTTTCAAGGAATGGTGGTACTTTGTAGGCTTCAAGAGTCATTTTTGCCACCAGGTCAGAACAAGTTGTGATTATTCCCCAGGAGACATTTAGAACAAAACATCTAAACTCAGGCCTGTGCAGCTGCAGTGCTGCTCCTCCAGCCGGGGTTGTGCTTGGTAAGTTCCCTGGCAGGTGATTTAATGGCCTGGGAGTTCATGTTACTGAAATGATTATCTGGGAAGCTTATGAGAAAATGTCAATAGCTCATAGTTCTTACTGATTAATATAGAGCTTAGTGCAATAGTGTTGTCAAAGTGGAACTTGGACTCTTTGTTAAATCCATTACCATCTGCGACTAGAGCAATTTACTTGGACTAGTAAAAGAAACTGGAGGAATACTAGTACATTTCAACACCCAAGCTCAAGTTTTGTTGGGTTGTGTAATCTAGAAATTCACGTTTTACAGCGACTGTGTAGTGTACCCCACCACAGAGAGCTTTGGATGAGACTTAGGGGAACCTAAATTTTGGCTGCAGCTGATGGTTTCACTTGCTATATAACTTCAGGTCAGCAAATAGGGAAAATATATCGTATTTTTGGAAAGTACCCTAAACTCACTGAGAGAAAGAAATTTAAAGTATTTATTTATATACTGGTGGTGGAATTTTTAGAAAGTCACCTCAGTTCTGCCGTGGAGTAAACACAATGTGGTGAGTGTGTGGGGTTTTTCCTGCCATTCTAGGGTTTGTCCTAGCAAAATGGGGATTTGAGATCCCCCCTCACCCACCCGTGCATTTTTTCACTAAAACTTCTGAATAAATTGATTTGGGTTTCAACCCAAACTGTCTCACAAACACAGGTTTCAATCACTATCACTCCATCAGATGCCCTACAATTACCTGATTCTCTAGGGAAATCGTTCATTTTAGGGGTGAGCCTGCATAGGGGTGATTAAGGTTTTTCTTTTGTCTCCCATTCTTAAAGCATACCTGGCAAATTATCCTCAGAAAAATTAATAATTGAAAACACTTTATGTGGGCCAAATCATGTAAAAGCCAGTGGATTATCCAAATTGGTTAGCTATACTGGAATTTTGTTTCATTAACTGTTGTTTGAAATTAATGGGGCTTTATAGATTGAGAAGTAATTTTTATTTTATGGAAATTTTGTTAAAATGTGATTTACTTTCAATTGGGGTGGAAGCACTGGGTGGGGTGTGAGAGAAGTTATTTTATATTCTCAAACTAATTCAAATTGACATCAGTGGATACCATGCTTTCCTGCTTTTATGATAATATATCTGCTCTTACCCTTTTAATGTGTATGAATATTTAACACTTCCTTTACCACAGTGTATATAACATCTGGATGTAAGAATTCCACACTTGAAGCTTCAGAAAGCATTGGGGGGGGGGGGATGGGGCTGGAATTGAGGGGAGGGAAAAACTATAGCTAGTTTTTAAAATATTAGCTGGGGTTAGCAGTGGCATTAAATGATTGATGCCCCTGAGACAACAAAAGAAAAGACGGCTTTTTGGGGCATTGTTCTGGTGAGACTCGTCATCTCCTAAAGGGCTCCAAAGGTCTAGGCTTTTTAAATATGACAGGTGTTTATTAAAGGACTGTGACCATTCCCCTTCCTTTTTTAAATTTTCAATTTGATTTAAAAAATAGATTAAATCTAAAATACATTTAAATGCATTAATATGTTACAAGTTTTAAAAAGTGCGAAAGGAGGTATGTTGGTCTTCCTTCTTCCTTCCCCTGTCTCTCAGCCGTTCATCTCCCTTTTCTGGAGGCAACTGTTCTTATGGTTTCTTTTCTGCACGGTCAGAAATATTCTCAAGGACTGCTCTCGGAAAGAGAAAGTCGAGTTGTACTCATTAAAACATTAGCATTGACTTGGATGGGCAGACTGACTGCAATGAGAAGAAATTAGTTTGAGCCACAGGCTGTATGTTAATCATAGATAGGAGAACTGTGATCAGGTAGTGACAGTGGTTACGTTATTATGAGACTGTAGGAATAGAATGGATTTGTTTTTGGCCTCATTTGGCATTTAGCAAAATAGCAGGACTTCTCTCCCTGCCCCTCAGTATGGCTTACCCACTTCTAGGGACTGGTGGGAGGATGCTTGCCTAAATATCTCATTTGGAAGAAACCTCATTTAAAGGAGCAACATTTTCTTCATGCTGAACTGCAGTGATGATTCTAAAAAGTCTTTTTCATTATAGAAGATTTCAGACATGTACAATATAGAGAAACCCCCATATTTCAAAATCCATTTTATTTCACCTGAAAAAAGTATGCTGCTTCGGCAGATAAGGAGATTGTATTTTATACATGCACTTGCACATCCTACCCCTTCCATAATCACGTCTAATAAAATGAGTCGTAATTCTTTAAAGTCAAACTTCCAGTTCACGTACCAATTTTCCTAATTATCTCAGACATGTCTGTTATGGTTGACTTTGCAGTAATTACTTATATAATGCAATTTGATGACTATAATATTGGTAGGGCTGATAAGAAAACAAGCTAATCCTGACAAATAGAATTATGCTAATTGAAGAAGGGATATAAAGACGCTACCAAGCCAAATAGGAATTCCAAAAGTAGACCAGGTTTTTAAAAAGCTCATTTTGAAGGATTCGTACACCAGTTATGCACACTAGCAAAGCCTTCAACATATACAGACCTCTTTATGTAGTTTCCCATTTTACTTACATTCTCATGGTTCACATCATAATTGTGCATATTAGTTTTGTTCCCTCCCTTTAGATTGTGGGCATGAAAGAATAGACAAATATGAAAGAAGTGTTTGGATTAGGTTTCTTAAGAATGAAGGAACTATTCCAAAATATCTGCTGCTCCTACTATAGTATAACCTGTTTCTGCAGACTAACCGTTGAGTGCTCTGATTACTTGGGGCAGTACAGAACATGGATTTGGGGCAAAAAGAAGAAAATGGCAGATTTAGGAAGAAGGAGGAATTAGGAAAGAGTAGAAATTCACTTATCTGCCTTCTCTTTGAACTGGCCATCATTTTAATGAGAGCCTCTCCTTCGGCAGTGTACAAGTCCCCGGAGTACGAGTCCCTTGGCTTTGAGCTCACTGTGGAGAGACTAGTTTCTATTGGCTATCCTCAGGAGCTGCTCAGCTTTGCCTATGATTCTACATTCCCGACCAGGTAATTTTTCAAGATTTTTTTTGGGGGATTAAGGACGCTCTGTCCCGAAATTAATAATTCCATATGCATACTGGAACTCCCCCTCCCCCACCTTGAAAAAGTTCTTTGTGGGTTTCTTTCTTTCTTTCTTTCTTTCTTTCTTTCTTTCTTTCTTTCTTTCTTTCTTTCTTTCTTTCTTTCTATTTATCGATTTATTTATTTATTTGTTTATTTTTGGTTGGTTGATTCTAAAATTACCAAGGACTTTGTATGTATACCATATCTTCTGCATTCTTGAATTAAATTTAGTTTATTGTTACTGAAGAAGATCCATCTATGGAAAAGAAAAGGAATTAAGTTGGAGAGCAGTAGTGTGTTTAGCTAACACCTGACGTTGGTAGTCAGGAGCCTCCTGACAGTTTGCATTAATGGGTTTGATGGGAATGACTTGAGATGAAGGAAGGTGGCGTTTATTTGAGATGTTACCACCATGCAGGTCCCATATGCAGCATCTAATAGAGAGAAACAAAAGCCAGCTCAGTTGTCCAAGGAAATTAAAAGACTGTTTTAGAATGGAACCAGCTGTATTAAAAGGAATTATAGACTACACTTTGATTAATCTTATTACAGAAAACAGTTGTGATCCTTTATCTAGAGTAAATATTTTTTAGTTGCTCTGGGATTAGTTTTTGAGATTTCATTCACCTACTTTAGTCTCAGGTGAATGAGGATGAGTTTGGTTCATGGCGATTGAGGAATGTAAGATTGTTGCCTGCATTACTTTGCAATATTCATAATGTTTTCATTTTCACATAGGGGACTTGTCTTTGATACGTTATATGGAAATCTTTTGAAAGTTGATGCCTATGGAAACCTCTTGGTCTGCGCACATGGATTTAACTTCATAAGGGGGTGAGTACAAAGGGAACTTTTAGCCTCTTTGTAGTGTTTTGGTTTTTTTTTTTAGTCAAACAATATGAAGATGACAGTGTCTCCCTGGGTTTAACATACTTTACTTTCCTATTTTTTATTTTTTTTAAGCAAGATACTTTTTAAAAAAAGATTTTATTTATCTTTAGAGACAGATGGAGGGAGAGAGGGAGAGAAACATCAATGTGTGGTTGCCTCTCATGTGCCCCCACGGGGACCTGGCCCGAAACCCAGGCATGTGCCCTGACTGGGAATCAAACCAGTGATGCTTTGGTTCGCAGGCCAGTGCTCAATCCACTGAGCCACTAGCCAAGACCCTATTTTTTTAATTATTAAAGAGCAATTTTTAACATAAGGATACTTAACAATTATGTATTAGGCATTTGAGACCCAAACTGACATATAAATATAGTTAGCAGTTACATTTTGTTTAAAATAAGTGCTTTCTGCCCTGACCTGTGTGGTGCAGTTGGTTGGGTGTTGTCCTTCAGAGTGAAAGGTTGTTGGTTCAATTTACGGTCAGGGTATATGCCTAGGTTGTGGTTTGGTCCCTGGTTGGGGTGCGAGAGGCAACTGTTCAGTGTTTCTCTCTCACATTGATGTTTTTCTCCCCCTCTTTCTCCCTCCCTTCCTCTCTCTCTAAAAATAAATAAATAGAATCTTTTAAAAAAGTAAATGCTATCTAATGGTACAGCATCCAACAAAGCTAATCTTGAAACTTGCCCCTCAAAAAACTGTAGGTGCTTTGCCTTATTTGAAATTCTAAGATTTTTATATTCTTTTCAATGCACTTCTCAGGTAGCTGCTTTGAGTAGGTATGTACATAAAAGTGCTTTGAAAAATTTAACACTACAACAGTGTAAATGATTAAGATTTTTAACAGCTAATAACATTTTTTAAAACATTCTAATGAATAGCTTCAGTATTTGATTATGGTGTTAATTTTTTTTAAACATGGGGTTAAAAATGAATGCAGGGCAATCATATTTAAAACAATAAGCTTTATTTTCATAATTAGCATATTTCCACTATTCTTACTAATTTGGACTTTCCACCCTAGTAACAGCAGATAAAATTTAGTGTCTAGTGTTTTTGGTGTAACATCCCAATTTTCTCTTTAGAAATCACGTACTGCTATTTGACAACTTCTGTCATTGTGGCTTTATAATCATGCACCTTCTCCACTATTGCACTCCCTAATTTATCAGTGATGTGTATTAGGGGCAGAGCAAGTCTTAAAACCCAAGCAGGTTATGTGTCAGTCTCCCATGTAACTGCTACATATTATTCTCAATGGCAAAGTAGTCAAAACCACACAGTCTACATTGAAATTTAGTTAAAGAGGCAGTGTCTTTTTGCTAAATACATTTGTGATAAGAGGCACAAATTAATTGAAACTGTACTAGAGTTTTCTTTAAATCTGAGGCCACATTAAAACCCCACTTAGAACTGAAGCATCTTATGCAAGACTCTTCAGCTGGTGTTTCATCAGCTCAGAGATTTCCAAGTATATAGGTGAGGAAAGTGTGAAGTAAGGACCCCATCTTGAGACATCTGGACAGGCCTTTCTTTCACTGTTATCTCTGCTCTTCTTTACTGTGCCTCCCATGCGGGGTTTGTTCACAATCCATGAGTTACCCAGTTGCAGGATTTAGAACATAAAGTGATAACATAGCACTAGCAACCTAAGCTATTTTACGTATGGATATTGTCGCTGTAATTCAGAATCTCAGTGAAGATGAACCAACATTCTATTTATTAATGTCTGAAAAGGGGTTTCTGTGTTGTTGGGGGAGGGGTAGTCAGAGTAGAAAAGGAAGAGAAGCAGTTCTGTAAATTAGTACTACTGGTGGATTTACTAACTCAGACCCACAGGCCTTCTTCCTTCCCCCAACTAAGCCAGTAATGTTTCCAAATAGTTCCTTTGGAAATACATTTAGTAATGTTTCAACAGTAAGTCACTTAGGAGTAAATGCAGAACCATTCAAATCATTCCGCCAGTACCTGGCACTGCACAGTCTTTCAGAGTCAGAGGAAAAGTCCGTGGAGAAGCAAAAAGGCTGAATATGGAAGATGAGCGAGGGAGGTCACTGCAGTTTGTGACGGGCAAGGCTGGAGGGGACATTAGGGTCTTTAGCAGGTAGCACCTTACATGCCTGGCCAATGAATTGAGGCCTCTGTTTTGGACAATGGCAAAGGCTTTCCAAGTTTTCTTTTGTTTAAGATTTTATTTATTTTTTTTAGGGAGGGAAGGGAGGGCGGGGGGAGAGAGAGAGAGAGAGAGAGAGAGAGAGAGAGAGAGAGAGAGAGAGAGAGATAAAGATCAATGTGCGGTTGCTGGGGGATATGGCCTGCAACCCAGGAATGTACCCTGGCTGGGAATCGAACCTGGGACACTTTGGTTCCCAGCCCCTGCTCAATCCACTGAGCTACGCCAGCCAGGGAGGCTTTTCAAGTTTTTAGCATAGGGTAATATTGAGATCAAATCTTTTTTTTTTTTTTTAATTTTTTAAAGATTTTATTCATCCATTTTTAGGGAGGGAAGCGGTGGGGGGGGGAGAGAGAGAGAGAGAGAAACATCAATGTACGGTTGCTGGGGGTTATGGCCTGCAACCCAGGAATGTACCCTGGCTGGGAATCGAACCTGGGACACTTTAGTTCCCAGCCTGCGCTCAATCCACTGAGCTACGCCAGCCAGGGCGAGATCAAATCTTTATTCCATGGGTTGCAGAAAGTTAGCAGTAGTCTAGCATTCCTTCTTGTGTGATACATTACCTCCCCCAAATTAATTTTTATTAAAAGATGTATTAGCATGATTTAACAATTTAAACAAAACATAATTGTTAACTATATTTATAAGTCAGTTTGGGTTCTAATTGCCTAATAACTTATCTATCCCCTATGTAAAAAAAGTACTCTTTAATGATGGCGGGGATAGGAAGGTACATCTGAAGGGACAGTGTCATCCTACCAGACCTGACTGAAGCAAGCATATCACTGCTATTCCCGTTGACCTTAGTTTTCATCATAGAAAATCTTGGAAGGCTAGAAGATAAGGTCTTCTCCAAAGTTATTCTTTATTGGAACTTTATTTCAGAGGAGTGACAGACAGGAAACAACACGATTTTATATTCCTAACTAGAACTTATGCCATTTGTAGTTAACAAACTCAACCAGGAATTGACCCAGGTTACTCTTTAAATGTGATGTTCTTTATTTAGATTAATTATCTCCATGAATTCACCCTGAGAATTGTACATTTTTATAGTTTAGTTTTTCTCCCTTTCAGTTTCTCTGTAATATTTTTATTAATGTTGTCCCGTCCTTCTTTTCACGGTGTCCCATTTCACTCTTCAGGGCTCTCTCGTGCATCTCTAACAACTTCTGTTTCGCTGGCTTTTTTTCTTTTAAACCTTAAGTGTCCTCCACGCTTATGTTCTCAGTCTTCTCTGTGCGCGCGAGTGCTCTCCTCTGTTCCAGCCGTCTTCGTGACTTTGCGTGCTGCCTGCGCACAGATGTCATCTCTCAAGTCTGGGTTGCTGTTTTCAGATCTTGACCTGTGTTTCTAAATGCCTGTAAAAGTCTTTTACTTTGAACTTAATGTGTCTAAAATAAAATTCTTACATCCACTCCTGATCCAGTTTCATATTTCTGTTCATGGAACCACCACCATCTGAGAGACACCTTAATGTAAACATCATTATTTTTCTTTATTTTTTTATTGAACATCATTATCTTTGATGTTTATGTTCCTCATCTGCCACATCCAGTCAGATGCCTGGTCTTGTTCGTTTCACTTTGACAGTCTCTCTTGAGTACATTCTTCCCTTTGATTGCCTTTGCCCCCACTCTAGAATAGGCCCCTGCTGCTCTCACCTGGACTGCAGCGATAACCACTTCCCTGATTTTTGTGGCCTTTTATCTCTGTGTCAGTTAGCTTTTGCTGCATAATAAATCACTTCAGAACTTAATAGTTTAAACAGTGATCATTTCATTTAGCTCAAAATTTTGAGAGTCAGCTGGACAGTTCTGGGCTTTCTCAGCTGATCTGGAATGGCCTCTCATCTGGCAGTGGGCAGGCTGTTGGCTAGGGCGCCTCATTTCCGCAGGCAGCCTTTCCCCTCCGGCAGGCCAGCTCACTCTCGGTCCCACAGTGGTCTCGGAGGTCCAGGTGCAGCAGGGGTGGGCAAGCCCCGGTGCATGAGTGTTTTTGAAGTCTCTTGTTTATTGCTGTTCAAGGCTGTATTCAAGGGCGCAGTTTCATAATCGGAGGAACCACAAAGTCATATTGCAAAGAGATAGGCAGAATTTGTAGCTATTTTTGCAGTTATCACATCTGTTTTTCCATTTTATCCTAAAACTGCAGCTGATTTAATATTTTTATAATTCGGCTTTGCTGGTTTTATCCTGCTGCTTAAACATTGTCAGTGATGCTCTCTTGCCCTTGAGCAACGCATGAGAACAATGGCACGATCGGCCTCAGTTTATCTTTAGTTTTATTTTTCTCTGCCCCCATCTCTACACAAATTGGACTAGTGTCTGAATTGGTCTGTCTAGGCTTTAAGGACCAGCTTACACACCACCACTTCCAGGAAGCCTCCCTAGATTTTGCTCTCCTCGCTCCCACATTTATCTTTCTCAACCCCAAGTTGAAATGGTCTCCCCTTCCTCAGTTTTCTCATAGCTCTTTGCACCATTCTTGTGTAGTTATGGAGTTAGGGTTTTTGCCTTGCTGTAATTGTCCCTTACCAGACTGAAAACTTTCTAAGGGCAGGAACCAGAACTTGTGTATCTTCATGTGTAATATTTGGAAATTTGCCATGCATGTAGCCATCAGAATATTTGAATGAATTTTTGAGTGATGAATATATCTCACAGTTGCTATAATGTTAGTTTTCTGAGTATTAATTACATTTTTTTCTTTCAGACCAGAAACTAGAGAGCAGTATCCAAATAAATTCATCCAACGAGATGACACTGAAAGATTTTACATTCTGAATACACTATTCAACCTACCAGGTAGACTCATTCTATGCTTTTATATGCTGATGCTTTCTCCTCTTCCCAAGATTATTTGTCTTTGCTCAAGGAAGATAGATAAAATAAGTTTGAATTATTTCACTCATAGCTTATGAATATCTATTCTTCATTTTTCAGAGACCTACCTGTTGGCCTGCCTAGTAGATTTTTTTACTAATTGTCCCAGATATACCAGGTATGTATATACTATAATTTTTTTCCAATTGATTTTTTAAAAAAAATTAATGTGCAGGGTTTTAGAGAACTGGCCATTGTAGGTCTTTTCTGCTTTTCTGAAGTGAATTTAGTGCTAGTGAGAGATGCCTCATTGCCAGCCCGAGAGAGATGGGACAGCACCAGCAGCTCCATGCGGGCTCTCCTCTCCCCTCGGCCCCGGCCCCTCTCCTTGCCAGTACGCTGCCGTTTGGAAGGGACCACTTCTGATTGGCTTCTCCTGGGAATGAAGACGGCCTGCAGAGGTGCTAATTGTGACAACTGAGTGGGAGGTTTGTGTGTTGATTATCTGTCCAGACAGAATTGCACTAAAACCCCCCTACTCATTTCACAGCAGCTACCCAAGAGCCATTCGGGGACAGTAATCTAGTTTCATTCCCAGGCCCACCCAGCAAGCTTTGATTGAGGGATAAATACCGTTTATCTTCCCTGAAGTAAAATTTCACTGAAATCTCAAGCAAGTTATCCTCTTCTTTCTGGGAGTTATGTAACCACTGCCGAAAGTTCAGCCATGTGCGCCAGAATTTGCTAACTTCCTGTCTCTTCAGGTCTTGCCCACTTCAAGGCACTGACTTCAGTAGAGCACCGAGCCACTGAGCTGAATAGAAAACAGGCAGTACCTTTGTGTTCAGAGACAACATCAGAAAAGTCAGGGTGGAGAGAACTTAAATAATCAGTTTTAACTTTTAAATGTTTCTTTGATGGGAACCTGTTTCTTAAAAGTGATGACTAAAGGAACGTGATATTTTTGCAGCTGGCCTTTTAGCTCCCATTCAGTCTATTCTATCACTTTGCATTTGTTCACGGTTACTGTATTCCACTGAACACCATAGTCATCTCTGGTGATCAGAATGACTTTTCATTAGAGGGTATTATTTTCCTAATTAGCCAGCACCTTTATCCATGTGATAATGGAAACTTTGGGTCCCTGGGCAAGTGTGATATCTTATTTGCCCTCCTGTGGATTCCCCGTCATGTTCTTTTCATCTTTCTGTAGCTGCGAGACAGGCTTTAAAGACGGGGACCTCTTCATGTCTTACCGCAGCATGTTCCAGGACGTGAGGGACGCCGTGGACTGGGTTCATTACAAGGTACCTGGGAGCTGCTGCTGCGCCTGCTTTCTCACTGACGTGTGTTTTACGTGGTCTGACAGTAACTCCCCAGTGCAGACAGGGCAGGATTTCTCTCCACAAAAAGCAAAAAAACAAAAACAAAAAAACCCATGGATTTACTACAAATTGTACTAATAAAATATGAGGTGCCTTTTGATTTCTAGTTTAAAATAAAAATAGTTTTGTGTTTTAAATACATTTTGGAGGCGGAGTTGCAGCAAATCGCACATGCCAGTTTGCTCTGGCCTGCTCCCGTGTACCTGCTCTTCCTTTCTGGTGAATACTTCGATGCACCTGGGTTGATAGTAGACACAGTTAGTCTTACAAGCTGTTAAAAACTGGTTTTGTTCTTTTTCTTTTTCCCTTTTCTTCCCCTAGGGCTCCCTGAAGGAAAAGACAGTTGAAAATCTTGAGAAGTATGTCGTCAAAGATGTGAGTAATAAGGGGAAATCTACACGATAACTTGTTTTACCTGTTTGGGAAACGAATACAATAACAAGCCTATTTATAACAGAATGCACAAGGGAAGGTGTTCCTTTGTCTTGGCATAATATATGCCAAGTATAATTACCCAGAGTTTTAGCCAGAGCACAGGTGTTAGTATGGTTTTTGCTGTCTGTGTGTGGGCAGGAAGACCCAGTGTTCCATTCGTCCCCATCGCTCTGATTGGAGTGGCGGCTGGAGGGGTTACTGTGTGCACGCCGATGTGCTGAGTGATTACATGCACTGCCCTGTTTCATCTTTTTTTACCCTGAATTAGGTGTAGGTATTGTTACCTCTGCTTCATAGATGAATAAACTGAAGAATACAGGGGTTAAATAACTTGGCCAAATCCGTACGGTTAGTAAGTAGTAACCCAAATCGTAACCACTGTGTTAGATTGTCTAAGAAAATGTATATATATGCAACTTATTTATATTGTCTTTAACCTATCAACAGGGAATAATAAGGGAGGTTTTAAATACCTTAAAAGGCACTAGTGGAAAACTTTGTAAAAATCAGAAAGATCTGTAGTTCAGTTAATAGTGTTGTGTCAGTGTTAATTCCTTAGTTTTGGTACCTGTGCTGTGGTTATGTAGGACATTAAGGGAATGTCCTACATAAGTAAGGGAAGCTGGATGAAGGGTGTATGGAACCCTCTACTATTTTCACAACTTTTCTTTAAGCCTGAAATTATTTCAAAGTAAAATGTAAACATACACACATACTTCCTTTTCTTACAGAGGAAAAGTAGCAATATTTTCCCAAAGTACTTTGATAAAGATTATTTACTGTTTTCAGTCTTTGTACCTCCTGTTTCCACTCTCACCCCAATCCTTGTTGTTTCAAAAAAGAATGCTAAGGGGTATGGGAGAGCTCCAGGGACTTTAAGTAAAGGAACCTATTTACCGTGAGAGAAGGAAAACTCTGCTCTTCTCTCTGGTTGTATGAGGGTTAGAATTCCGTATGCATCTGCACATTTCTGGACCATAACCTGCACGTGCCGTTTCAGTTCTGCGGGGTGTTTGTTTCAGTGAGAGTGTGTACGGTGAAGCTGTATCCGACGCTCTGCATGTAGAGGATTTTGCTGGTGATGTTTAAAATCAGCTTCTCCTGATGTGATCTCTAACACATCTAATTCACATAATAAGATTACAAGGTGAATCAGACTCTTTCCTGAGGCAGACATGAGGAAGGTAGGGGTATGCTTTTAGTGAGCATATACTCATTTATATGTATCATTTTATATATCAAATTTATATCTTAAAATATACCTTGTATATTACATGTGTTAATACTTAATTTATGCACAGTGATAATGTGATCTTCTAAATGCAAAAATCTTGTAATCATCCAACCAACCCTTACAGGGCATTCCCATTCTTACTTAAGTGGACAAAAGTCCAGTACATGACTGCTCCACAGTAAATGAATATGTGTTTGTGTTTTATTGTTTGACTCATCATTATGTTACATTTCAGGGAAAACTGCCTTTGCTTCTGAGCCGGATGAAGGAAGTAGGGAAAGTATTTCTTGCCACCAACAGTGACTATAAATATACAGATGTAAGTGCTTAATATTCATATTTGTTTATTTATACAGAGGAATTATTTTGGCCTAAAGAACTGTGAAGATAACAAGGAAGAAGATCATAGTGTATTAAGGGTAGTTTTTACCATTTCATTTGAAAGCAGTGGAAAGAGCAAAAATATATAGCATAAGGGCTACATTAGAGTGATGGACAGGTTTTTCTAAATATTTGACTATTTTCCCTAATTGCAGTTAACTACTAGAACATTTTAATTTGGGGGTTATTTGAAGCATTTGTGCTGATGAAAATGGCTTCTGTGTCTCTTTGACAAATCATTTATGAAACTTAAGTCACCCCTTTCGTTGCACATGGTCTCCCTCCCTGCTGGCGGGAGCCAGACAGCAGTAGATGGTGCAGAGCTGTTTTGATTCTTGGCCCTCAAAATTTACCACCGCTTAACGCAGATGTTCTTTGCCATGATTAAAGTATGTAGAAAAGCTGATTGAAGTCCTTAACCTCATCTTACTTTTGCTAAGATAGTTACAAAATCATAGTACTAGCAAGAAGCTCAGTGCTTCCCAATCCTCCTTATGTAAAATCTTGACTTTGAAACCTGGTGATTTGGAATAAGCAGTTTTACAAAGTCAGTGGTTCAGTGGCTTGGTTGGTCTATGAAGAGTAGTAAAAAGGCCAAAGTATGTTATTTACTTGTGAGGCATTAGTTTTCTCTGTGCTCTTAACCTTGAAAGACTCTTGCCTCCAAAAATGTGTTCCAGTGAAGTAGGAGAATTGGGTAGGGATGTGTGGGTGAATCTCTGCAAAACCATCTCCTGGAAGAAAATCATGTCCTTCTGAGAATGTCAGAGCCTTTGTATGTTTCTTTGTTATGATGGAGCATTCACTTCTGGCTCTCACGGCTGTGATTTCCTAAACTTCGGAGGAAATGAGAATGTGATGAATCCTATATTGAAAAAGACTTGTCTTATGAAAAGCTTGTGTGTGATTCTTTTTTAGTACTGTTTTATGTCTTTTGTAGAAGTATTATTTGAACCTTATATTGGATTTTTTTTTCCAGAAAATTATGACTTACCTGTTTGATTTCCCACATGGCCCCAAGGTACTCTATATAAATTACTAGACCATTGCTTTAGTAATAATGAATGCATTTAATCAGCCTGGAATGTGGACATTAAGGAATGGGCCAGGACCCATTCGGGAATCTTCATTAACATGAGAAATAAATGGCAGTGCTGTTATAATTGAAAGTTGCTCACAATCTGAAAACCTGGTAGCAGAAATTAAAGAGATATCCATGTGGCATTTAGTAGGGTGGGATCAGAACAACTTGATGCCCAAGGACTTCTATGCAGAGTTATTAGGTTTGGTATTTTCAGGTTGAGGAAGATAACTGATGAAAAGAAACAGAGAAAATATGTACATTCCTGACAACTTCTAGAGTCTGCTATTAGTTATTGATGAGTTCTGTGCTAAGGGAACAGTCAACCTTGATATTTAGCAGAGAAGTCTTTGTATCTGCAGTACAGCTGCACTTAGGTTTAAGGAATATCCATTGCAGTTTAATCACATACTTGTGGGATTTTAATACTATGCTTTCTTTGAATAAGTATCAGTAAATCCCTATTTTGAGATCATCCAAAAACACAGCATTCATTGCTCTTCAACTCGACCTTAAAAGGTCAACGCCGTGGCTCAGTTTCAGGATGGAAATAATGTTAATGGGCATGGCTTTTACGTTAGTGCTGTGGTTAGCCCGCACGCAGTCTGAGCCAAAGGCCACTGTGTACCTAGACCATCAGTCCGAGGTCTTAGCCAGTAAAATCTGCTCGTAATTGCGTGTCAGTCTGTGTACTTCAGTTCTGATGCTTATCTGCCTCTCTCTCTTAATTTGTCTCTTGGATATCGATCGGAATCTCTCTTTAGCACCCCCTGAGCTCACTCTTGTAGCCCATTTCAGGTGTGAGCACACTTTCTTTCATATATTAAGTCTCTATGAAATAAGTAGATGAAATGATCAAAAATGTAGTAGAGATTATTAGATACAGTATGTTTTTAATAAAATAGTGGGATCCTCTGATTATACTTAGTATTTTTACATTTCTTGCATCTGAGTGAGATTAAATGTTAGCGCCTTAGGGTTAGGAGTGATGTTTCAGCTTTTGCTGTTTCTCCCCCCTCAGCCTGGGAGCTCCCATCGGCCGTGGCAGTCTTACTTCGACCTGATCCTGGTGGATGCACGCAAACCGCTCTTCTTCGGAGAGGGCACCGTGCTGCGTCAGGTGGACACTGTAAGTTGGGAGGGTGGTGTCTCTGCTAGTGCACTGCCCTGCCTGTCTGCCCTTCCCCCATGCACACGCTCCCTAAGGAAACAGGCATTTTTAACTACTGAGCTGTGTTTCTCCTTTAAAATTATTCTAAGACTTTTTGTGTTAATTGATAGCCAAATAATTAAATATATATATGTATGTATGTATATAATTTAAGAGTGCCTTTCATTTGGTTGCCTAGCCAAGTAGCATTTTGGGTAGAGATTGTGATGAGTGATGAAGAGTTACAAGGGCCATATTCTCTTCTCACAGAAAACCGGCAAGCTGAAAATCGGCACCTACACAGGCCCTTTACAGCACGGCATCGTGTACTCAGGAGGTGAGTTGCAGGTTTCCCAGTAGTGTCTGTGCTCAGGCCTCACCACAAAAGCGTGGAGGTCCTCCTGGCCTAGCGGCACATCTACCCTTTAGTACTCTGAAGGTGTCACCTGCTGAAGGCGAATACTTCAGTCACCTCCCAGTGCCACCGGAGTCCAGGAGAAGGGGCTCAAGAAGTTGTTAGTCTGTCCTAGCGAATCTTTGATTTTCACTAAAAGGATCTTTTGTACCCTCACCTTTCTTTGACCTATTTGAGGCTTTTTCTCAGTGTCCTGGATTCATTTGGGATGGTTCTCAGGGGTTCTAAAGGAGCCCCTGCAGACAGATATGTATTTTGTTGGCATGAGAAACGTTTGAACACAGCCAACTTAATGGCACATTCGTGATGAGAAACAGCGGCGACGCTTCTGTGGGTTGCAGATGTCACTGACACTGCGACATGCAGGGCTGTTGCTCTCGGATTTGGTGACCAAGAGCTTTGGTCACCACACAGGAGCTGAAGATTTTGTCTTAGAGGCAATAAAAAGAATGAGAAAAAGACAATTGTGAGTCTTTGTCTTTAAGAAAGGTGAGCCCTTTCTCTAGAGTGTTCCTCACGTAGTTGTAAGAATAAAATTAATGGATTGAGCGCGGGCTGGGAACCAAAGTGTCCCAGGTTCGATTCCCAGCCAGGGTACATGCCTGGGTTGCAGGCCATAACCCCCAGCAACCGCACATTGATGTTCCTCTCTCTCTCTATCTCCCTCCCTTCCCTCTCTAAAAATAAATAAATAAAATCTTAAAAAAAAAATAAAATTAAGCAGCACAGCATTTGCTGACTATGGCACTGGGAATGCTGGTTTTTTAATATGGGACATTTTTGTTTTCTCATTGTTTGTTCTGTCGTTTCAGGTTCATCTGATACAATATGTGATCTGTTGGGAGCCAAGGGCAAGGATATTTTGTATATTGGAGATCACATTTTTGGGGACATTTTAAAATCAAAGAAACGACAAGGGTGGCGAACTTTCTTGGTGATTCCTGAGCTTGCACAGGAGCTTCACGTCTGGACTGATAAGAGTTGTAAGGAGCGTTACTCACTGTGTAGATCTTCGGCACGGCCAGTCCATGTGCGTGACTGGCCGTGAGTCGGTCCTCTTCCGTGCGCCATCACCTCGTATGTAGGGCTCGGAGGGACCAACAGATGGGCCCTGATGTTTGCCAGCCTTCTTCCCAGATAGCCAGATAGTTCACAGAAGTCCGGAATTTGAGGAAATGTGAGAGGTTATCTTGCTCAGTTTCTTCTCGATCCCCTTTAAGTACAAAACATTATGCCCTGACTTCTATTACTGGGGCAGCCAACCCGTGAGCCCCTCGGCAGACCCGTTAGTCCAGCCATGCTGCCAGCTCCTGTCTCTCTGCTACCGGCTCCTGTCTGTGAGTCCGGGGCATCGAGGGCTCTCCGTGTTAACCACCTCCTGGTGTTTTTCACTCGCTCTTCTGAGAAGCAGAGAATGGGGCTACACTCCATTCTCTGAACTGAGTTACGCTGTGGGCACCAAACATGAGCTGTGGGTTTAGTGACGTGAGGACAGTTGACACACAAGTTCTTGGACCAGTGCTAGCCAGCCTCACCCAGTGTGGTGAAAGGCAACACCTGTGTGCCCCCAGGCCAGCCACTGAGTCACCCTTTGCCTCCGTTTCCTCAAATGTGAAAATGAGGATAACACCACCTACCTCATAAAGCCGATGAGATTTAACTGAGGTGACGTGTGTATAAAGAAGAGACAAGTAACAGCCCTTCTCAGCCACAGCTCCTCATCTGACCCACAGCACAGAGAACATGATTAAATGACCCTCTGTTATCCCCGAGATGGCTGATAGACAGTTTGTTATATACAGAGATTACATTAAGGCCTAATTCTCTTGGGGAGCCCGAGTGCAGGGAAGCACGCAGCTGTTGGTACTGTTTCTACTTACCGGTGGGATTTTCTTGCTAGCCTTTCATCCACATTTTCAGCTTTCCACTATGAAGTGTTAGGTATCTAGTTGATTTGGCTCTGTTTCCTACATTCGTAACTCTGGACAAGTCACCTCATTCTGTGTTAGTATTTGCTTTGCTGACACACCTAAGAAACCGGGTGAACCGGGCACTTTGTCAGCGTAGAAGATTCAGCATCTAGCAGAAGCAGAGCTGTGGTCAGTGACGTTTCAGTGGGAAGAAGGCAGTTAGAGAGAACATTGCAGTGTTTGTCTGCTGCCAGATTGCAGGCAGGGGGGCCGCGGGTCTTCCTGAAGGGGGAGAAGGAAGTTATTTTATGATTCACCCATGTCTGTATTCTTCAGTCATATCTGCAACCATGTCATTCAATTTCAGCAGTAGTTTAAAACTGGGTGTTTTTTATTTCGTTAAAAATATTTTCCTCTTTCTTCCATATTTTTCCTCTTTCTTCCAAACCTTAACTAGCACTTTTTGAAGAACTTCAGAGCTTGGATATTTTCTTGGCCGAACTCTACAAGTAAGTTTTTTTCCTAATTTTAAAGTTTTATCCCCTGAAACCCATGGGCCTTTTTGGGAGTCGCCTGGGCATAAGCGGTGTCCTTTCTGGAGATTGGCACTGGGTCTTCTGTCTGCAGGCACCTGGACAGCAGCAGCAATGAGCGCCCCGACATCAGCTCCATCCAGAGGCGCATTAAGGTATCCATTCCAGCGGGATTTGGGAGAAAACTCGCAAAATAAAGTTGAAGTGATTTTTGTATTTCTGATTTTGTACAGGGACTGGCACATAGCCAGTACTCAATAAGTGGTTTTTTTTTTAAATGAGCTGACACTCACTCTTGTTCTTTGTTTTAGAAAGTGACTCATGACATGGACATGTGCTATGGGATGATGGGGAGCCTGTTCCGCAGTGGCTCCCGGCAGACCCTCTTTGCCAGCCAGGTGATGCGCTATGCCGACCTGTACGCGGCCTCTTTCATCAACCTGCTCTACTACCCCTTCAGCTACCTCTTCAGGGCCGCCCACGTCTTGGTGAGTTGGTACCGCTTTGAGCTACTGTTTGTAGTTAAGATACTCTTCGGGCTGAGGTCTGCAACCAGATCTTCACAGGAGGGTCTGGATTATTCCTTTCTGATGGGCAAAGCCCAAGAGGAAAGTTGCATAAAAAGGAATCTTTGAGAAAGTATCATCAAGATAGAATGTTACAGGGTATAACTTTACTCTAAAATCGACCAATGCAGGCTGTTTGAATAGTGAAGACTTTCCTCTTTTGTTAGTACTAAATGAGAGAAATGTGGTATTTATTTCATATTCTTAGGTTCTAGGACTGTTTTTGCTGTGAAATAAGGATCTCTTCTTTCTCATCTTACCCAGCTTCAGGCTGTAGTAAATGGCCTGGGCACAGTTCTGAGGGTTGAGGAGAAAGAGGACAGGCAGCTTTTAGGGAGTTCCAGGGAGACGCTTCAGTGCCTAAACGGCCTTGGCCTCTGGTCTCTGCGCACGGCCCCCTAAAGAGGGAGAGGACGGTAACTATGGCGACAGGGAAGTCGGGAGGCTTCCCAGCTCTGTGCGCGCAGTTGCCACTGCTTTCCTGGAACCTGAGTGACTGTAGTCGAGTAGCATTTTAAAGTTTTGCTGGAAAGTGGAAACATGAGACCAAAGATCTTTTAAAAGAACCAAAGCCTCAAGAATTAGTGAGCTGTGTGGGCTGGCTCGCTGCTGAGAATTATGTTCATGTAATGATCACTCAGCAGCAAAGTGAAACTTGTTTTTAACCAGTGAAACAAGTCAAACAGTAAAGCTTCCTGTTGGTATTTGCCCAGTAGATCTTGACTGTTTCCAAAAAGTTTAGGCACAAAGAAATAAACTGAAGGGGAAGGCTTTGTCCTACAAGTTCTGATGGTGAATTTCATCTGATTTCTAAGGGAGAGGGGGAAAAAGGGTAAACAGCTCACTGTGGGGCAGTCCTTTCGGGAAGGTGGGTTGGGAAGGAACACTGTCGGTTACAGCTGGAGAAGATGGACAAATAAAAAGTGGTCAAAGGCCAGAACGCTAAGATCAGCTTCAGCTGAGGGAGGAGCGCCAGTGTATTCACTGGTTGTGGGGCCGATTCGGAAAGGGGTCTGTATGCAGCAGGCAAGCAGCTGATCGTTGGACCTCTTCTACCAAACACTAAAACTTCACAGTGGAAAGCTCACGAAGGCATTACTTTAAAAGTAGATTGGAACTCAGTCAACGCTTTAATGTTATCTGCTGGCGGAGACTGTGAAATGCAAGGTGTGGGGCAGCGCGGCCACCCGCTGTACAATCCGCAGCCTCATGAGCATCCCGTCACCTCTGGGCTGCAGGTGGAGACGCATTTGCTGGTGGGTTGGTTCACGCTCGACACCTGTGTGGTAGGACTGGGTGGGCACATGCTTTAGAAGAGCCCAGCACTGGCAGCGGGCTGCGTGTTGCCTGGTCAGCTGGTGGCACCCAGACTGCTGAAGCCTGCGGAAATGGGCATGCTCTTTTTGCACACAACGTGGAACAACCTTGGGAGTGGAAAACTTTTTAAGTGTCCTTAATCAAAAGAAAGACCGTGCAGGTTTATAATGTTCTTAATGATGCAGGGGACTGACTGGAGTTCTGTGATAGAATATTAGAGCACCTTTGAAGTATTAAAATGAGGGAGAGGAGTTAGGATTTGGGAAACAATGGCTTCGCCCCACTTGCTCTCTGAACGCCTGGCTTTGTTCCAGATGCCTCACGAGTCCACCGTGGAGCACACGCACGTGGACATCAACGAGGTGGAGTCCCCCCTCGCCACCCGGAACCGCACTTCGGTGGATTTTAAAGATACTGACTACAAGCGGCACCAGTTGACTCGGTCGATTAGTGAGATTAAACCCCCCAACCTCTTCCCGCTGGCCCCCCAGGAAATCACACACTGCCATGACGAAGACGATGATGAGGAGGAGGAAGAAGAATAAGGAAGAAAACCAAAACCCTGAGCACCCATTAAACACGTCCTGGCAGGACTCACAGGAGCAGACCATGTCCCTGTCTGGGTTCTGGCGGGAGGGGGGCACTGCATTAAAGGTGTTATCTGAAAAGTTTCTGAAGACCTTAAGACGTTCTAACCGTAGGGAGGTACTTGTTTTAGTTCCGTGTGTCTGCACTCTGCACCCGTGGTTCCGAGTTGTCATGGAATCCGCACCGGAGAAGCAAGGGTAGCGCCAGCTGAGCTGCATGCAGGCGGCTCTGGCGTGGCTTGGGGCCCTGTCTCACCATTGGTGTGCCGGGGGGTCTGCAGTGGAAGGAGGAGGGTGGAGAGGGGACCCCCAAGTGCTGTTTTGTTACAAACTGTGCTCTTCCTCCCAAACCCATCTTTTCAGTGCGTCATGTAGCGCTGGGCGTCACTGGAGAAAACACACGGTTTCCATGATCAAACGTGTCTTCTGCCAGGTTCCTTTTACAAGCTTCTGTCTGAGTGTCCTCAGCGACTGGTGAGGCTGTGGTCCGCCGCCGGCTTTGCGAAAGTGTCCTCTGCTTGCTGCGTAGCTGATCTGGAGTGCACTGCACGATTTCATTTTGAGGCAGAAGTCTTCATCTGTTTCTACATTTCTGTAATTGATACCAAAAATGTCCCCCTCCCCCCTACAACAACAACAAAAAAATCTTTTTCTCATCTGGTGTAAATCTGTAAAGTGAATTTAGCTGAAAGAGGACAAAGGAGCAAGCCACAAAAAGGAAAGGAAACTACTTGTATTACAGCATAACGGAGCAAAATCCATTAGTGTGGGCTGTGCTGTGTGGCCTGTGTCGCCCCATCCCAGCCCTCAGTGTCCTCTGGAGCTGAAGGCTGCATTTCGGGGTTCAAGCAGTGGAAGATGGGGAGTGGGCTCTGCAAGCCCAGTCCCACTGCGGCAGAGCATGGTCGGTTGGTGTGACCATGGTCGCTGCGCACGGCAGGGGCCAGCCGGCCTCCCTCCCAGTGCAGTGCGCAGCGGCGCGCTCAGAACAGCGGTGTAGACTCTCACTTTACCTCCATGTACTCTTCTGTTTTCATTGTCGTTGCTCGACTTGGGCGGGTAGCTTAGCTGCTCTAGAATTCAATAAACACGGTATTTCTAACACTGGCTTGGATCCCTCTGTTGTAGCACAGCTGTAACTGCTGTTGGGTTCAGGTGTAACTCAGGGACATCAGTTTGACATGGCCTCAGAAGAAAGCAAGTCTGGCGTGACTGGTTAGTAGTTAAAGTTGTAGCACTCACATAGGCCTTGATTTTCTCATGGAAAGTTTTTTGGTACAGGACTATAAGGTAAGATTTTTTCCCCCTTTTTAAAAATTCATTTTATAGGTAGGAAACAGTAATTTAGCCAAGGCCCTAATACCTCACCACTTTTAATATCTGTGGGCTCTACACCAGGTCATATCAACCACCAAACACTGTCTTGCTTTAAAATTTTAGAAAATGGGTTTATGGTCACCCCAGTTATTCCTCTCCAGATAGAGATGTTGCCCAGTTTGACATTCTCTTAAATCGTCTCAAAGCCAACGAATTTCTAAATGGGTTATTATGACTACAGAGCTAACTTGCAATAAAAAAACTTCCATACCTTCCCTTTTACAGCAAGGACCGCATGAGCACTTTGCTTTAATCTACCACGCTTTTGGTGCTGTCCGCGTCAGAGCTAGGTGATAGTGCCTCTGTAGTCAGGTGTCTCTCTGGCAGGGGGCCGAGGACTGGGGAGTGGAAAACACGACTGGACCGGGTAAGACTTAACTGCTCGCCGCAGCCTTCTCCAGGGTCACCGGAGTATTTTAAGGAGCTCAGTCTCCCTGAGTGTCTGAGACCCAGACAGAGCGTTGGTTCTCCATCAGTGCTGCTGGGGAGCGGATGGGCCCAGGGCAGGCGCGCTCAAGCACGAGGGCGCATGTCTCTGTGGCCAGGAGTTAAAGGAAGCTGGGCTTAAAATGTGTAATTCCCCACCCTTAGAAAAACAACAACAAAACCTGAGGCATTTTAGACTGCGAGCAGACAGGTCTCGCAACTCTTCAGGATTTCTTTCCCGGGTGTTTGGAAAACAGTGTTCAGGCTTTGTAAAGAACCGGGTGCCAGACTGAACTCCCTGTCTCAGGGCATGCAGAGGCTAACAGGAACCCCGCCCCGCCCCGCAGCTGGTCAGAAGCACCACACGGCGCAGCCCCGCTGGTTCCTCTGCGGGAAGACTTGCCCCGTACGTTCATCTCCTGAAACGGCCATTCCTGCCCGGGTGGTGTATTTCAGAAAGTCAGTTCCTACCTTAGATTTCCTCCTACCATACGGGTAGCTCTGCTGAGACCTAAAATAAGAAAGCAAGTCCTTCCAGGTACCCTTCCTAGGCACTTTTAGGAGAAGTGGTTCTTAGAACTAGAATAACTTACAGCTACAGACCCTTTGGTCGTGCTGGTATTGTTTTTAAGCAACTACTCCAAAGCCCGGGTGGTGACATGTCAGATTTAAAAGTACTTCATGCTTAGATATTTCTAAATCAGATTTATTTACTTAAGAAATACTTTGTCAACAAGTTTAAAGCCTTGCTTTTTTTTCCAAGGCTGCTAAGAGCATTTAAAAATACCCTGCTTGAGCACCACAAATAGCCAGAGACGAACAACTGCATACCTGCGTCTGCATCAAGGGTGGGAGCCTTGCCCACATTCCACGGCATGGAAACTATTCCATCCTCGATGGTGGGAAACACGCTAGCTGTGGCCTGGCCGTTGCCATATAGCTGAGGGCCCCGTGCCTCACTTGGTTTAGGGGTTTATGTCTCAGCACTTAGGTTTCTCATGACATTCTTTCTTGGTGACTAGAGCACAGAGCTCTTCAAGCTTTTCCTCAAATGGAACAGTTTCCAGTGAAGCGCAACCTAAGGAGATCCTGGGAACGAACTGTGTACTGGGGAGCTCCCTGAGCAGTCTTGAAAATAGAAGAGAAAGAGGGCTCTTCCCTCAGTGAGCACACGCCGCGCCTGCACGCCCAGCAGCCAGGGAGCGGAGCTGGGCTACGCAGGAGCCTGAGGCCCCGGCCTGACTGCCCCTGACGGGAGCGGCACCACACACTGTCCTTGCTGCTGAGTGCACAGGCAGCGCAGAAGCAAGTCAAAAAAAGAATGCACTTGTTCACCAAATGATGCACCCTTTCTACTTAACCTGGTGGTCTCAGCCGTTCTCCCCTGTCCTCAGACACGGTGTCTCCATTCCAAGGCCATAACTATCTGATTTGTTGCAACAAAGGTATGTAATTTCAAGGACAAAATATACACAGTAGTTTAAATCCCTTCGAAGAGCTTTGACATAAAATACTCCCAAAGAAACACAGAGCAGTTCATCTCAAGCTTGCTGATTCTGGTACTGCAAGTCTAGGTCGTCATCTGTATTTTACGATTTAAAACAAAATGACTAGTTTTTGACCTGGTCCACCAAAGAAGATAGCTTTCCTCCATTTTATTACTAGAAAAAAGTAATTTTTAGTGGATTAGACGGATTGCTTCATGATCCAAATTAGGTACAAATATGCTCCAAACGCCTGCTCTCCCTTTGAGCTCTCCTCTCCCCAAAGGCACATCTAGCCAGGGCTGTAGACAAGGCCTGACACGTCTGGGCCAAGATAAACCTCACCACGCACAGCGGAGCCCAAGCAGCCGAGTGCACGTTCTTCCCATGCACGCTAAGGACAACCCTTTCAAGTCTCACAAGCTCCTGCAATACTGGGAAAGAGGACTTGCCAAGCAAACCCTCCCAACAAAAAAACATGTTTGTTCAATGTCCAGTCTTTGAGAGAGGATTCCTAGCAGAGGTAACCTTTGACTTGTAGGTGGGTATTCTGAAGCAAGTAAGTTCATGTTAGGGCCCGCTGCCCTCAAGCCCACGATGCAGCAGAACTGTGGTAGGGAAGCTAAAAAGTCCCGTCTTAGGTTGGCCCACTGTCTGGGCGCTAGCACTCAAGCAGGAAAGCACTGTAACAAAGAATTCTGGCACCTGAGTCTCCCTTTGTGTCCTTAGCCCTTGCAGTCATCCAACAGGAGAGAGATCAGGCCCCAGAATGCCACACAGAGGGCCCTGCAAGCAATCCTTCATTCTGACACTTCTTGAAAATAAAAGGCACAGATGTGAGGATCTGAGAGAGGAAGCGATAAAAGTTACACAAAGAAAGCAAAAGGTTACTTAGCTATCTAATTCAGTTTTCTGGCCTCAATAATAAGGAATCACCTCTATTAAGATGAATTACCTTTAGAAAATATCAACTAAGTTTTCAGAAATGGAGCTATGAAAAGGTCATTCAGTTTGCACCACTCACTGCCCCTACAAGAACCCCTGGGCACCGCCTGGCCTCAGGAGTGCTGTGTGGACGCCCTGGGGAGTGCGGTTTGTCACATGAACTAGAAACCCCAGAGCTGTTCTCACCATAGAGCTTGGCGATGAACCAGCACGTGGGTACTCTGTGGGCGCAGACAGCTTAGGAAAGCCTCATCTCACAGTAGGAAAATTCCCCGTTTTCCTCGAGAATGTTTCTCGAGGAAACATTTGAGGTCAGGACGCCCCTAGACAAAGTGAGCAAAGCCAGAAAACCAAGCAGCCAACTGGGTGTGGATGTGCTGGAGACGTTCCTTCCCTGGGCCCTGCTTGCCTTCTGCTCTGCATCCCAGCAAAGCAGAGAGACTCCCAGGAAGGTAACATTTCTCTGAAATACAGGTTTACCTTCTACTTTCAAAAAGCTGGGGGTAATGATGGGGGAGGTGGGTTGGTGGCTAAGTCAGGCAGTGTCTCAAGCCAATCTCGTCAGCAGTTCTTCACTGAAAATAGAGACTCAGAGTGGAAGAACAAGGGACCCCACAAAGATGCGGGCTGGGAGTGGACGGCAGAGGGGCTGCGGGCTTCGACCAGAAGATCCTCGGGGTCTGGTGAGCGAGTGATGGGGGAAGAGGCAGCAGAAGCCTCGATGGGAGGCGGTGGTGGAAGACGATGTGGACCACACACTGGGACGGCAGGGAACGTGGGGCGCCCACCGGGTCCTGAAGGGCACCAGAATGTGATTCACTGTGCTGACGCTCGGTGTTCTTAACTCGGAGTGAGCCCTCTGTGCCTGCTGCACCCCTCCTCCCCCCCTCAGCTTCGTGCAGCACAGGAGGCTCCACAGAGCCATTTCCATCTTCCAGAACCAGCTGACCAACCGAGAGGCTTAGATGAAGCCTTTGCTCTTGCCCATAAAAAAACAGCTTAGATATTTGCCCAGCTGACCTGTGTGTTATTAGTGACTAAGCAGCTAATTTCAGGGGCAAATTTAGATACCCTCAGTGTCCCTAAAATAAACTGATGGGGGAATAAACTGATACGATCCTTGCAAAGGGCCACCCCCTGGAATTGGCTGCATCGGGCTGTAAGTTGGATGCACAGTTCTCAGCACCCACTTCTCTTGAACACGCGACTCTGTGGTGTCTGTGCGAAGGAAATGCTCCGCCGTGTGACCGTGCTGACAACCAGCCTCCAACTTCCCCACCCGTAGAGCCCGGCAGCTGGGCAGCGGCCCAGGCCGGTGTTGCACAGGTGAGCAGGAGAGAGGGAACACACGTTTGCTAGGAGGGTGGACAGGAAATCGTTTATCTAAATAGAATAGAAATGAACAAAAACCTTTTAAAACAATCACAAAATTTACAAATAAATTGGTACAAAATAAATAGGAGCGACTGTAAATCTACAACATCATTCGAATTATAAAATGCACTCATTATGACAATCAGCTTGTGAAACCTATACATGTCACTTGTGCTTTAGGTTTCTGTGCACAGCTCAGAATACTGTGTTCAGAAGACTCCGCTGCTGAAAAGCATCGAATGTACACTATGATACAGTGAGTGAAGGCTAAGGAGGATGAGAATCAGACACAAAGCAGGGTCTTACTGCAGGCCAAGGCAATGTTGGCACTGGGCCTCACAACCGAGAAAAGGCATGTTAGAAGCCCAGAACGGGCAGGCAGCTTCCATGGTCCAGAGAGATGGATTCTGTAATCCAAGGGCGGGAATGGGGGTTGGGCCATGACTGTCGCAGGGCTGGGTGGGGGGTGGGGGTGAAGAAGGAGGCTCTGGTTTCACGGCCACGCTGCGCCACCACGGAGGGAACAGAGCCGGTCCCGGGAAGCCACCTCCGAAGTACTTCACGGAGGTACTTGGGAGGCCCTGCCACGGCTGGGACACCCGTCTCCATCCTCATCCCAAACACTGGTCATCAGGAATAGAGGTGGTCCCAATAAAAGGGGCGGGGGACTCGAGGACCACTGTAAGAGCAGCAACCTGTTCAAGAAAAAAACGGAAAGTCGGTGCCTCCTCACCCACTTGAAGGGACAACAGAACCCTAGGCGCCATGGATGGGGGGCTCCGGGACAGATCTCATCTTAGTCACAGACAACGTACTAACAGTAGAGGCATATGTACATTAATAAATAATAATATAAAATAAAGCATATACATTTGTAGATTTAAAGGACTCCAGAAACAAGGAAGGTCAATGGACCGAAGCACTCGACCTTCTCGGCAGACCACAGACACGGGAGCCATGAGTCAGAAGCTGGGCGGGGGCTCCCCGGGGAGGGGGGTCCTGAGGCCCTGCTCCTCCCCACTCCTTTCTGCTCTGGAAGCCTGAGACCAGCTGTTTCTATTGAAGGGGCCCAGGCCACGACACAACGGCCCCCAAGCCCCAGCAGGTCCGTTTTCTAGTTCTGTCCAGGCTGAATCTGAAGAGGAGCCTGGCCCCAGAAGAACCACTTTCTGAGTGAATCCACGTCAGTCGGATGTGGGTGGGCAAATGCCAGAAGAGAACCCTGCCAACTGAGGATACTCCCTGTCGTTCTTCCAATTTGTTCATGTTTAATACACCCCTGGGGATTCAAACTCAAAAACGTACTCACTCAAGTCTTACAGGACGTGTCGGCTCTGTACACATAGGAACCTTGGCGTATAAACTCCTAGAACTTCACTCTCTTGCCACCAGAACCTTCATTTCCATGTTGCTTCAAGCCTGGCATTTCCCATCACAAGATACTAGAGACGGTTCCAGTGAGACGATGTCAGTGGCCCCACTGAGAGGAAGCTTACTTGCACTGAGCCAGCCACAAAGGTCTAAGAAGCAAAGAAGGTCCCCAAGCCAAGCCGGTGGGAGGGGAGCTGCTCCAAGCTCTGCAGCTGCTGTGAACTGCCACCTCCTCCCTCCCGTCCCCAGGGCTGACCAGAGGGAAGAGGAGCGAGAGAGTGTTCACTGCAGAAGGAAAAGCCTGTGAGTCCTAGAGGATGAAGGTTCGAGGGATGTTAACGTCAGCAAGGGATCCTGGGTGCACCCCTCACCCTCAAAAGGAGACAAATGAACCTCAGCTTGGACTTCTCTGAACTGTCCTCTCTCCTGTCAGCCCTCTTGAATACAAAAGTATGGAGAGATCAAGATTTGCAAATAGCCCTGAGGTATAGGAATTCACTGAGTAGGTTGCTCACTGATAAATTTGCATTGGAAAAGTTTCTGAATCCCCAAGTCACCTTCATATTGAACTCTCTAAGCCGCTCCTAATTCTGGGCCAGCCTGCAACTCACCCAGATGCCCTTGCTGGACTGAAGCACCACTAGCCTGGAACACAAGAGGGGAATGAAACCTGGCCCAAGGCAAGAGCCTATGTCCTCCGCAGGAAAGCACAGGAGGGAGTCTCTGCACCCTGCACTGCCAGCTCAGCCTTGGCGCGCTCAGCCCCTGCAGAGAAGCATGGCTCTGGAATCGAAGCCGAAGGGTTGCTCCTTCTGCCCATGCCACCAGTGAGCTTGGGTCACGTGGTGTGCACCCAGCCAACACCCCCACCACCCGCCCCACCCGCCTCCTGAGATCCCAGGGAGCAAGGTGAGCACTTTCCTGAGCCAGCCCAGGTGTTCTCTGCCCGAGGTCACCCTGGGGAGCAGTGAAGGAACCTCGGTCTCCTGGCCCAGGAAAGGCGAAGAGGGCCACAGGTCCCTGGCTGCTGGTTTTCGGAAGAGGACAGGGCTGGGTTTCGTTTCTGACCAACCAGGACACAGGCTCGTCAGTCCCAGCCTACTTAGGTCTGCTGCTGGGCCTGAGGGAACTAACTTAAGGGCAGGTCCCAGCTTAGTCCAAGTGCCTGTTGCTTCATTTTCTGGGGGAAGATGCAGTTCTACTTGTATCTACCACTATTCCCCTAGACTTGAAGAAGCTGATCCTTTAGTTGTATGGTCCTGGGGGCAGCACAGGAAAATGCATTCACAGTAAATGTTTCATAGTAATAGTGTGGAGTCCTGCATTCAGCAGTTGTGCACAATCTCCTTGAAATAACAGTAGAAAATGGCAAGATACCCGACGCTCTGCGCCCTCCCACGAGGAGAAGCCAACTACGTCAGCATGGGCACCGCACTGCCTGCAGGAGGTGAGGCGGGGAGGGAGGGGAGCACAGAGTCAGACAGGGCACCGCTTCAAAGTCCAACTCCGTAAGAATCAAGGCCAAGGCTTAAGCTAGTATATTAGCACCCAATATCCAGAAACAAATCTTAAGGATTTGTTTTCCTAAGAGTTTAAATACATGGTTTTGGACTTGCCTGACGAATATAAAACAGAAACACAGGGAGACAACCTCTAAGGCAGTAGGGAAAAGCCACTCCCACTTAGAAAGAGAAGCAGACAGTCCTGGGAACACTTGGACACTAGGAACCCAGTTCCAGGTGGGACCTTTGGGACACCAGAGCGGCTGTTCAGGAATGGGAGAGGTTCCACAGCAGCGCCACGGAGGCCATGGGGAGGGAGGCCCTGGATCTGACAACAGGGGTCCAGCAGAGTTCAGGACGCCAGGACCTGCATCTGCCACGCAGCCCCTCCCCTCACCGCTTCGGAAGCCAGCGGCCCCAGGAGAGGACCGTCGACGGCGATGCTAAGGACTGGCGGCGGCGTACCGAGACCCGGACTATGTGATGGTCTTTCTCCGACTCCCATTCGTAGACAGGAATTGCATAGACCTTCTGAGCCAAAACCCTTCTCCTGTTGCCAGAGAAGCCATGAGCCAGCGTTTCTCCTTCAACAGCCTGAAGTTGGTTTCCAGAGGGAAGGTGGGGCCCGGACAAGAAATCCAGTTGCTCAGACACTTATTTATGAGCCTCGAGCGTGCCCCAAAGCAGATGTAACTACAGCCCAAGGGTAGCCCTCGTTCCTCTGGGGCAGGACAGGGATTACTTTGTATTCCCTGTTGTTATAAAAGTGTGGATGATCAAAGGTAAAGAGTGGTTTGTAGAAAATACAAACTTGCGAGGCTAGACGTTCATCCTCTGGGACCCCCTCTGCAAAGCCACCCCTGCCAGCTCATTCACAGGGAGGAGAGAAAGCCACCACACCGGGTACTGAGTAGTTAGACGTTCCTCCCTGAAGTCAGGGAGGCGGAGGCTGGACTCCCACTGGGCTTTAGGATTCCGGGGAGGAGCGGCGGTGCTCTGAAAGAGACCTGGCACATTAACTGATTCCAGAGGCTCCCCGGGACAAGGCACCCTGAGACGGGCTTTGTGGAGCAGCAGATGGACCAGGAGAGGCTGACGGGCCAAGGTCCTGAAGGCCAGAGGAGTCTGGGCCTGACTGGCTGTGCTCCACCACACCAAAGGGAAGGCAAGTGCTGACCGGGCCAAGAGAGCGCCACCGCTGTCGGGGGAGAGGTGCCCTCCCCCTGCAAGGCCCAGACTCCACTTCAGGGAATACTCGTTTCTGCACACCCCTCAGATAGCCCCAGTTCCTGCCGTACTGGGGTGCCCTCAGCCAGATGTTGGTTAAGAAACTGAGATTTAAATTCAGAAAGATCTGTGTGTAAAATACCCCCCACCACGGTGCAGGGTTCCACTAATGCCAAGCTGCATGCTGGGGGCTCCATACCATGGGGGCAGCTTGGGTGCCAGCAGCAGGATACTCAGCCCCTTAGGGGCACCCCCGTGACCCTCTCCCATGAGGGGAGGCCAGATGCTGCAGGACTGACAACCCAGAGGAAATCCTCACCAAGCGTGCAATCAACACTGGAGCCACCAAACTGCCTGCCAGAAGGCAAGCCAGCAGGTCACCGGTTACTCCCCAAGCACAGCTCCCACCTCTCAGAGCCATCCCTGAGCGCACACTCCTACCTAGAGGAGGGAGGAGAAAACTGCTGCTTAGCCCCAGGGCTGCCCTCGGTTCAGTGGGACCCCATGGAGACAACGTTCTCCTCTCAGCTAAGGACGGGCTGCAGTGCGCTCTGACATCGCTGCACAGACGCTGTGTTCGGGGTGAATTCACTTCAGTGTACGGATGTTGCCCACGAAACGCACGTGTCCCTTGGGCTAATACTTAAAACACAGGTGAGATAGTTGAGAATTCAGACATGAATTTGTCTAATCGTGATGCATCAGGTATTGAAATAAGGCAGAGACACACAAGAAACGGCCACAACGCACATTTGGTTTCTGAATCCCTGTCTGGGGCCGCGCTGACCTAGCTATACAGGCGGCCTCTCAGGGTGGCATGGGCGCATCAGAAGCGGGAGGCACAGAGGTCCTCGGGCAGAGGACACAGCCACCACGGGGCCTCACAGGCCCAGGGACACAGGAGGAGGGACAGCTGACTCCGTAGAAAGAGGGGCAGGGGCTGGCAGCTCCCAAAGTTCCCTCCTTCAAACACGGGTTCAGGGAAGTCTCCTCAGCGTGGAGCACAGAGCACAGCTGGAAGGCCCAGCTCCTTTTCTGACAATGACGCACAGCCCGGTGGGAAGGGGAAGAGCTTGAACTCCACACCCTGTGTTTACTCCAAAGCCCCGGGGAAGATTTCCATTTGGCATCTGTGTAGCAGCATCGCGGGTTAACAAGAGCGGGTGGGGAGGTGGGCGGCGCTCTGTGAGCTGCTGGCGCAGGGGGCAGGGCTTGGCTGCGCCGGAGATCCCCGGCTGCAGGAGTGTAGGGGAGGAAGCCACCTTGCCTCTTGCCAATGATAAACCATGGGTTTAAAATTCATTAACATTCATTTTGGTGATAAAACTTCCTTAAGAGTGGGAGCACAATCACATTCCAAGCAAATTTAAACCTTTCTGAGGGTAAGGGACACAGTTAAACATTGACTTAAAACAACACTGAGCTCAGAGTGGCGATGGCAGGTCCCTGTAGAGGCGCCACCCGCAATGTCACAGACTGGGCCGGTCGGCATCAGCGAGGTCCTCTTCATTCATCCTTCAGGTTCGACAGCGACAGCCACTGGGCCGCAGAGGAAGGGGCCCCTCGCTGGGAGGGCCCACGGAAGGCAACTGGAGGGGCAAGTCCATCCTAGCGGGTCACATCATGGGGTCACTGCAGAGTTCAGGCAGGACAACTTGAAACTCTGCAAAGACACTTTTAAAAACGTGATCTCTTGGAAAAAATAAACCCCAACAATTTTCAACGTCATGCAAATCAAGGAAGGAGGAGAGTGAATAATAAAAAGGTACAGCTGAAAAAATAAACATGATTCTATCTGGGCGGAAGAAGTTCATCTCCAAAATGGCGAAGGCCACACCCTCGCTGCCGATTTCCAGCTCCAGGGCCCCCTCCTGCCCTCACGACCTCCTCTGCTGCTTCCGGGAAGGGGACAAAGTCTTTGGTCTCAGGAGGCGCAGGACGCAGCATGGCACGCAAGCTCACGCTAATGGGGTTCGCGGTCCGACGGAGGCGGCGGGGCGGGCGCTAGATGGCGCCCTCGCTGTGGAGGCTGTGGTTGGCCTTGGCGTGCGTCACGCAGTTCTGTTCGTTGAGCAGGTTGGCCGTCTCGTCTGGCAACCCGTCGTGCAGCTCCGTAAGAGTCAATTCGATTTTAGTGTTTTCACTGTCTGACGACTGAGGGGTTTTGTCCATCCGGGATGCCATCAAGGCATTTTGGTATTGCTGTCTTGAGATCTGGGGCCGGAAGATGGCACAGAACACAAACCGAGAGAAGGCTTAGTCTGGGGTCCCCCGTCCGGGTAGCGCATCGTCACACCTTAAATCCCCCGAACGGCCCCGAGTCGTTTCTCCAGGAGAGAACGAACTGCGCCACCTTTTAAAGTGCAAGTCCACTCTGGTGAACAAGTCAGTTTTTACTGATATAAGCCATTTCCGATTTTTGTCTCAAAATTTCAGAGACTAGGAAGTGGAACTAGGCTTCCATCAGCTAAAGCTGGCTCGTTCTCCAAAAGACGTCTTTATTTCAGACTAAGAAAAGAACCTTGTCTCCAGGGCAGAAGGCAAGTGGAAGGCTCTATCCATCCCACCCTGGCCAGCCTGCCTTCAGCCCTTTCCGGGCCAACGCAAGCCGCTGGAGGCCCGCGCTCCTGAAGACTCCTTGAAAAAGGCCGATTCCTTTTCTTCCAATCTCCGCCTCTCATTCCCTGAAAGAGCCACCTCTGACTTGGCTGGCAGCTCATCTGACAGAGCCAAGGAGATACAAGTGGTTCCCCACCTGCATCTTGGGCGCAGTGGCTAGAGGCAGGGCCCCACAAAATGCCGAGGGGAAGCTCAGTGGAGGGGCCGGGGAGCCAGCCGGCTGGCTGCGGGTTCGACCCGAACCGCCGGGCCCTGCAGCAGCTCGCCCCGCTCTTACCTTGACAAACTGGAGATCAGAGAGGGCGCGCACGGAGTAGTCCGGGATGTAGACTTGAAGGAACGAGGAGTTGAGCTGGTTGTTGCTGCTCCCCAGTGTCGGCGTGATCGCGTCAATCCGGTCACTTCGGCTGAGGGAGTCTGAGTGATTCAAGCCGCATGGGCGCGGCGGCGACTTGTTTTCACCTGGAGACGGAGGGGGAAAGAATGAAAAAACCCAACCACCTTCTAAGGGAGGTAGATATACCCAAAAAAGGCAGCTTTTTATTTTCCAAATAATAAGGAAGTAGCAATTAATCAAGTTCTATCAACTGCTGCCAGACCCCTCAGCCCCACGCTAGCCACAGGAGCCCCGCAGAGCAGCCCTGGCTGCCCCAGGGCCCCGCCTCCGCTCGGGTCAGCGCTCAGCCCGGGATGCGCAGGCGCAGACCCTGCGGCCTCACAGGACCTCACACCTACGTCAGGAGCAGCGCCAAACGCTGTGAAACTACAGACCAGGGGGAGGCGCGGCCCAGGCGCAGAAGTCCTTGCCACAAGACGTGCGCTGTGGGAAGGTGGCACTTCATTCATTTGTCAGAAGCCAAATCAAAAAGACTCTTGAGGGTGTCCATCAATCAGTACATGTTTTAAAAGGATCAGAACAGTTCTACCTGCTCATACCCGACCTCCCAGCCAAGCTTATGGTCTCCGTCTCCAACTCCAATACACCCGCCCTTGGGCAGCTCGGGGATGTCTCGACCTTAGCAGACACCAACTCCTTGCACAGAAATTCAGATGAATCCGCGTGATGCTGCTCCAGCAGGCCAGTTCACCACAACGTCTAATATAAACCTACTTCAAAATAAGAACCCTTCCCCTGCCATCTGTGGTTTTCCAATCAAATCTCCACACTATTACCCAGGCGCCCACACCGGGCAGGTCCTGAACCACGTCACAGGAATGGACCGATTCTCCATGCAATGTGTCCCCAACAGATACTCCTGCAGAGGAGCTGACCCTCGGCTGGTCCCACCCTTCAACTGCTGGAAAATTCTATACCATGCCCATCAAAAACTGCCTCCCCAACTTCAAATGACCTCCACTCTGGGAGCTAACTTTTATTCAAAATGGCCCTTAAAAGTTCGAAGATAGTATGTTCTCCTTAAGCCTCTTCTTCTCCAAGTGAAACATTTCAACGGTCCTTCACCTCAAGTGCTTCACCACCACCCTTCACCCTGTCCTGACCGCCGTCCAAGATTTCATCCATAAATGTCCCTCGTAACACGTGGCACCCAGAACAAAACATGGGAAACACTGAAGGAACGTCAAAGGAAGCCTTCACTTCCTGCCAAAATTCCCATGTCACAGCTTTCCCGAGTTTCATATCATGAACCAATCTCCTACTGTTAGGTCAAAGTTAAACCCAAAGTGGCAGTTCCTCTTGCTGCTTCCACCTCTCCTCTAAGAGAACAGGGCACATCAACAACCCATCCCGTTACCCCATTTGGCAGAACGAACTTCCACCAGGTGTCCCGACTCTGCCAAGCCCCAGGCTCCTTTCCTGTAAAAGGCAGACAGACACTGGCAGCACCTACCTCCTGTGGTCTGACGAGGGTTCCCAATGAGATAATGTGCACAGTGCTCAGCATAGCGTTCGACTCCAGTTAAGTACCGATAAACAAGCATGGTTAACAATTCCTCCCCCGTGCGCTTCCTGCCAGACCTCTCCCCTACACGCCTGGCCTCGCCAGCAAGCCTTTTCCACACCTGGTGTGACCTCACCCTGGCTGACAACCCAACAGTTCTTAGAAACGAGGGATGCCCCTGTATCACCGAGCCTTAGCCCCAAAGCACATCACCATTTCTGCAGACACCTTCGAAATGGTGTTCACTGCCGTGTTCCAGTGTAAAGGTTACAACAATGAAACATTCAGAGGGCACTCTGCTTACTGGTCAGACCCCGTGTGTTCCCAGGCAGACAGGTGTCTGAGGCCTGAGGCCATGAGTGAGCCTCCTGGTGTTCTCTCCTGAGGAGGGTCCCAGGCACTGTCTCTGGTCTTCCAACGCACCCAGACTCACAGTCCGCTCCCTCTCAACCCACCGCCTCCACTTGTGTGAGATGGGCCGTCTCCTTTGCCAGGAACCCAGTGCCCAGCCTCGCAGCTGTCTGGAGAAGCCGACCCCGTTTCCAGGGGCCCCTCTGCAGCTGGACAAGCGCCCAGCCTGGTCAGCCTCTCACCAACACCCGACGAGATGTGTGTGCGTGTTCACTCGAAGGAGAATCAGGACTGTAAATGGCCTCCCTCCAGTTCAGGACGTGTTTTGTTGCCAAATTTATGTGCCAAAATTTTAGACAATTATCAAAACACCTTCCACTTTTAATTCCTCTTTATGCCTTCTCAGAATTATTTTCCTTCTGCTTTTTGTCTTGGTGTTTTTTAATTCATCCTACCCAGTAATCCTGTCTTTTTGCGAGTGCGCTAAAAGGATACAATCAAGAAACATTCCCAGCCTCTTCCCTGGGAACTATAAGGCACCTTTTAGAAAAGCTGAAAATCACTGGTTTAATTCAACCCCCATTTGTTAGGTACAATATTAGGGTAACGCCAGCATCCCCAAAGGCCTGGACCCGCAAAACATACTTTTCTGTTACCACATCAGAAGGAGTGGGCAGAGCTAAGAAAGCTCTTAGGTTTTATGGGAAACATAAAAAACAAATGACATTTCCGTGAGCTTCAGCCAAAAGTCACTCAACTTCAGCTTCTGTGACATTTTAAAGAGGTGGCAGATGCCAGCAAATAAAATGGGGAGAAAACAATAAAAACACATGCATAAATATATGTATGTATACTTATGTGTGTACATGCATATGTGCACATGTATGTGTATGTATGTAAGTCTGCCAATTGGTTTGATTCAAATAGCTTTAGGAATGGTATCTTACCCCCAAACACCCCAAACTTTTCAGAGCAAAGATTTGAGAGAACACTAGTTTTTCTAAGACAAGTATTGCTTCCTGTACCAAGTAGCAGCATTTTAGAATTTCGCTGAAACTGGCTTATGAAACAAATTTCATCACTCACATTTTTAAAATTTAAGCTGCATGGAACAAAATAAATACAGAAGAGTTGTACTATCAAATAGGAAAGCCAACAACTTTAATTAAAGAAAGATTAAATCTTTGCCTTTATTTTTAGGAGCTGGACATATCAGCCAGGCACAACCGACTCGCCTGCAGGGCAGTGACCAGCAGCTGGTTAGGAATGTGCATGGTGCTGATTTCAGAAGAAAGGGGAGGAGACTGGAGAAGCGGGGCCACCTGCCTGATGGAGGCAGAAATGCGTGTACCCTGTTCACATGGATGCTGGGAGGACCGAAGAGACAGCAATGCTGTGGCTTCCCCCCAAAATTTCCCAGTCCTTCCAGCTTTCAGCTGTGCATGCTCTGCAGAAGCACCCTTGGGTTTTGAGGTCCTTGGGGCCTCAGCCTCCGCACACTGTGACTTTGCTGAGGTCAGAGAAAGAACCAAGAGCAGCCGCCTTTCACTGCCCTGAAAACCCAAGGTCAGCATCACTCTCCCTTCCCGTGGTTCATTGCTGTTTGTGCTCCAAGATTTCCCGCCCGCATCCCCAGCCCCTTCTGCATCTGCCATGGGCTTACACTTTCCTGGCTAGCTCACTACCAAGCCACAGAAACGTGGAGTTCCAGAGCTTACAGGAAAACTGAAGGAGGTTTTTGAGGGGGTCCAGGGAGGCAATCAGAAGAATTATGAAAAGGAAACATGCAGAATTACCTGAAGAACCTGCTGCTAACAACTCTGTTCTGCTGACAACAAAGGTACGAGACAGGGACAAAGGAACTGAAAAACGGAGAAAAACAGGGTGAGACCGTATTGAAAGGCGAGAAGGAGCTCTGCAATCGGGGGCAGGAGCGGACACCAGTGAGCCATCAGTTCCAGAAACACAAGGCCCACATGACGTTATGTTAAAGACAAACAGCAACGACAGAGCAGCTGCTTTCCAGGAGGAGGGATACGGGGAGGCTGGAGTCCCAGTCACATGCTTCTTTACTAACCTAGAAATTTCTTAAGCCGTTCATGCCCAGTTGGTTTATAGCTCGAAACATGCTCGTCTTAAGGACGTAAATCACAACCAGCTGCGCAAAAGGGGAGCTCAATCACCCAGCGGGCTGAGAGCAGGACCCAATCCGCTGTGCCAGCACCCAGCACTCACTCACAGCCCCGCCTACAGCATCCCTATCTGCAGCAAGCAATTAGTCATTCGATTCATTTACATCCTTAATTAGTCTGGCTGCAACTTTGACCTGATGCTTTGAATTGCTTAGGAATACTTTGAAATTTCAAAGTGTTACAGGCAAGTAAATAAAGATCATCATACACAGATTTCCTGGGAACAGCCAGAACAAAGGCATCCTTCTCGCTGCTTCCTCAGACGTCAGACGGGAGCTGTAGTCCAGCCGACTGAAAAATCCAGCCAAAGTCACCCTACTGGGCAGAGTCCTATTTTCTGGGCAGGTTTATTAATTAATCAATTAATTAATTATTATTAGAGAGAGAGTTGTTGTTCCACTTACTCATGCATTAATTAGTTGATTCTTGTATGTGCCCTAATTGGAAATGGAACCTGCAACCTTGGTGCATCAGGGCGATGCCACAGCCAACTGAGCTGCCTGACCAGGGCCGAGTTGTTTTGTAATTGAGGTATAACGGATACATAACTGGGCAAATCTTGATTACAAATTACTGTAGGATTTTTCTAGGCAATCAAAATTCATAGAAATATTATTTTGAGATCTACTGTACTAATGGTGTCTCTCATTGAACATACAACATCCCAAATCTGAATTGTGAAGTCAAGTAAAATACTGGACTTCACAATAAGATGCTATTAACAAAATTTCTTTCCTCTCTGTCATTTCCAAACTGGGCGGACAGGCTCCTTCCGCCCACACCCCGGATTTCTGCACAGAAGGCTTGCTGCCCAGTCCTCTCTGAACAGGACTCACCCCCGCCTGCATCCGAAGTTCAGTGTGCACTGGGCCGGCATGGGCTTCAGAACCAGCAATCAGCACAAACGTACAATTCGCTCTCCCAGCTTTCTTTTCAAAACCACTTTATAGATCTGATTCTGCTCTCCTGGGGTAATATGAGGTTGGTTCCCCCAAACAGTCACAATCTCTCCACCTGCTACACCAACATTTCCTCTTAAGCTGTAAAGGTCACACTTGTGCACATTCTATTCTTTTAACAATCGCACAGGTTAATCTTATTACATCCTCTTAATAATGAGGAAGCCAAGGGCCTTTCTCAAAGGCAGGCAAGTGTATATGCTGGAACTGAGGCCGTGACTCAGGCCTTCGCCTGGTTAAGAACCTCCGTGTCCCCTCACAAGCAGTGAAAACGGAAGGTCACCTTCAAGTTCACAGCAGACACCGACTGTTAAGTGGGGCTGGACAGGGTTCTGTTCACACTGGGTGTTAGTCAGCAGTTGACAGTGGGGACACTGGCCCATGTGACTCGGAAACCTGCCCCAGGGATAGTGGGAAGATGCACCTGGGGCAGGGGAGGTTTGGAAGTACGAGAGACTTCCTGACGTTCCCCTGGCTTTCTAACTGTAACAGCTTGGTGCCTGAGACATCATGTGGCATGGTGGGTGAGGACCGACATCACGAAAGCAGCCTTGTCTGGAAGTACCCCTCCCCTTTTGATACTGATTTTCAGAAGTGACTTCTTTAGGACGTTTTTTTTAGCACAGCATGTCATTTGACTTTTTGGCCACAAGGTGGCACTACAGCACCTCTGTTTACCAGCCCGCCCTGGTCTAGCCTGCAGAAGGTACCAAGCTAGCGCGCACACACCGCCCAGCAAGCAATGTCAGGAGGGGCCCCATTCAGGTCCCATCCCAGAGGGGAGCCGGGTGGGTGTCTGTGTCCACGTTCCTACCAGGACAGCCACCGCCTGCGGCCACTCAGAGCACTGAGTTAACACTCACGGCACAGCCACCCCCAGCTGGCTGACTCAACTGGCCAGCTCTCTAGATAAGAAGAGCTGGATAGAAGCAATAAATACATGTTAACTACCCCATTCATCCTCAGGAAAATGCAAATTTAAAGACCTCCAGGATAGTTAACATTTAAATGACTCAACAACAGCACGTGGTGGGTGGGGAGCCTGGGGGGGGGTGCCCCCTCAGTACAGCTGAGTGTGAACTGCTACAGCCCGAGGGAAAAGAGCTGGGGCAGAAGCTGCTGAAGCTAAAGATGCCTTCACACCCCGTGACCCTGTACTCCCACTCCTGAACACAGACTGGACAGGACTGCACGCACGTCCACCAAGGGACAAGAGTGTCCACAGCTACACGCTCCACAGTAGCCCCAAACAGGAAACTACCGCCACGCCCACCAGCAATGACCAGAGTAAATGCATCCGTGCACACTCACACAGCAGGACACTGCACAGCAATAAGAAGTGGAGTGTAAGCTCCCTGGCAATACAGAGGAATGTGACTGGGTGAAAGCGGCCAGACCCAATAAAATACATCCTGTATAATTCCATTGACATGAAGTTCAAGAACAGGCAACACTAGTCTAAGCTCAGAAGTCAAGACAGTGGTTAATTCTGGGAGACAGTGCTAGCAGGCAGTGTGGTGGTGGCAGAGGGCCCCGTGGGGTCATGAGGCTCTGTGTCTGATCTAGGGCTGTGTTTCCACAGGTCTGTGAAAAGTCACAGAAGTACATACACTTGTGCTTTGTACGGGTTTTTTGTATGATGAGCAACTTCGGTAAGTTCAGGAAGTAAATACTACAGGGTTAGCTGGCAGGGAAAGAATGGCGACTATAGAAAGGCACTATTTCCTAACAGAGGCCAGTCCCTCCCAGGCTGAAGAAAACTCACCTGGCGAGGCTGTGAGGGCCATCACACCGTAGTATGAAAAAGCGCTGGCTTCAAACTTCATACCTTCTTTCCCAGCTTCTACTTCCACTTTCCCCTGTGAGAAGAAAAGCAGGGCACTTTCAGTCCAAACACAGGCACCAGTTTGCAAGCCCTAGGCAAGATTCTGTCCTGCCCAGGTTTTCTCCGAATTCCTTTCCCAGCAAGCCCAAGGGAGGCAGGCCTCTGACTACCTTTCCCAGTCAGAGGAGAGGGCGCATTCGACGTAAACAGGAAAACTAGACTCAGCCCTGGCTGGTGTGGCTCAGTAGACTGAGTGCTGGCCAGTGAACTGAAGGGTCACTGGGTTGATTTCCAGTCAGGACAGGTGCCTGGGTTGTGGGCCAGGTCCCCCGTTGGGGGGTGTGCAAACAGGCAATCAATTGATGTATTTCTTGCACATTGATGTTTCTCTTTTCCCTCCCTTCCCCTCTCTCTAAAAATAAATAAATAAAATCTTAAAAAAAAAAAAGAGCTACCACTGCAGATATTTTAAAACAAGAGCAAACTAGATTTGGCTAGGGACACGGAGACGACAGTAACAGTGTGATGCTGAATTTCTCTGGGCCACTTGCCACCACCACCCCCCTCCCGCCACATCCTTAGTGTGAGGCTTCTTCAGGGGCCGTCCCAGCGATACAGAGACGATGTCGTGCTCCATCAGTGGGACAAACTGTGAAGACGCTCAATGACAGTCACCCAGGCTGTCCTGTAGGAGGCCGCCTGAGCAGTCAGGGTCAAGGGTCAACGTGGTTTGTGGCCACAGACAGACAGGACAAAACTGGCTCCCAGGGCGGAGCTCTTGTCTCACCGGCAGGTCCCCTAACCCACGGAGCAGACAACCTTCAGGCCAACCCCTGGCCACCCAGACTCCCCAGAGGCACTGCGACGCCCCTGCTACTTTCCCCTCGCCCCCCACTGTCTTGGAAAAGCATCTTAAGAAAGTCTCCTTCCACAGGGACAGAACCTCTCCTAAGGTTTTCCCTTTCCTCCCTTTCCATAACAACTTGTCCACAACCTTTCCTTCACTCTTATCAGTTCCCCGGGACACACTGACTAGGCCTTCCTTACTCATCCCTACAGCTCTAGGGTCCACCACAGTCCCTCCACGGGAGATGTTCAGTGTGTTCTTCTGAGCTACTGCAATGCCCTAATAAGTGAGCTGCACTTCTTGACTTCCAAGCCAAGGGTCAGAACAGCTCTCATTGCCTCTCAGTGACATCTTCACGGCGCATCCTTCATGATCGGCAAACAAAAATTAAGCTACCAGCTGTGGCTGGCGTGGCTCAGGTGGCTGGGCACTATCTTGCACAGTGAAAGGTCACCAGTTTGATTCCCAAGCAGGGCACATGCCTGAGATGCAGGTTTGGTCCCCAGTCGGGGTGTGTTCAAGAGGCAACAGACTGATGTTTCTTGCTCACATCAGTGTTTCTCTCCCTTCGTCCTTCCCTTCCCCTCTCTCTAAAAATAAATAAATTCTTTAAAAAAATTTAAGCTACTTTTACTGAAGTCAAGGAACTGTGCGAATGTATCAGTGCTTTGACTGGCCCATCTAGCGCTCACGGCTCTCTGAAGCAGGCACTGCGAAGCCCTCCCACAGGGGTGAGCTCAGAAGGACTAAGCCACCACAGGACAGGCTCCGAACCAAGATGCCATGCTGTGCCACCAAGGCAAACGCTATTACTGTGACCACTCCCGATTATTCTACACTGAATTCCAAATTGTGGCAGACTTCCCTCAAATCACTTCAGAAAACGTTGTCTCTTTTAGGTTTTCCTTCACTCAATGGGTATATTAGTTTTACCAATCCCCAAATTCTTTTGCTACGAGAAAAGAAGTAAAAACTTCACCCATAAGTAAAATCAACCTGCACATAAGTGCTGAACACCCAGCTGTGCAGGGTCCTCGAGCAGATGCTGTGGGAAGACACTCCTTGCCCGTAAGAGCTTACACTCCAGGAGGGAGGCAAAACCCCATGAAAATCAATGACACAAACCAGTAAAGTTCCACATGAGGAAAAAGACAGTAAGAATATAAAGAAATCTGAGTAAAGGCCCTGGCTGGTGTGGTTCAGTGGCTGAGTGCCATCTTGAAAACCAAAGGGTCGCTGGTTTGATTCCCAGTCAGGGCACATGCCTGGGTTATGGGCCAGGTCCCCAGCAGGGGGCACACAAGGGACCACCACAAACTGATGTTTCTCTCCCACTCTTTCTCCCTCCCTTCCTCTCTCTAAAAAGTAAAATCTTTTTTAAAAATTAAAGAAAAAAAGAATTCAGAGAAAAAAATTACTTCCTCTTCTTATATAAAGACAATTTTATACAGGAAGGCAATGTCTAAGGAAGAGTAGGATCTGACTGAGCCGAGAGAAGGGGGTAGGGTGGAGGAGGGGCAGAGGTGGGTCTGGAAAAGCAGTTTGGAGACCAGGTTAGACTAGGAAGCTCCTTGAATGACACACTAACAGGTCAGGTTCTTGAACAGAGGAATATGGTTTCAGGAAGATCAAGTCTAGCCTTACCCTGGAGTGGTAACCACAGGACTGGAAAAAGATCAGTATGGATAAGGAATCAACACAACTTGGAGAAATCATCGGAGGGGAAGGGAGAGAAGGGGCCTTGATAACCACAACAGAAGTTTGCTCTGAGTAAAGGGGACACGGGACACCCTGCGTGGAGATGGCGAAGCTGGGAAGGGGTGGCACCGTGCTGGGGCCAGGAGGAGAGGACAGATCCCCTTAAAAACACGGCCTTGGGCAGAGCCCACCGGAAAGGCTGCGATGGAGAGTGAGGTCGGGAGGAAGGGTCGGACCTGGAGGTGGAGATCTGAGGGTGGATAAGGGAAGGCACTAAGTGGGGAGAGGACAGGACGGGGCTGCATGCAGCCCGGGACCAAGAGCAGGAGGAGAAACAGAAACCACTAGGGGACCCAAGGACAAAACAGATGAAAGGACAGCCAGACAGCGGAGCTACCACAGAGACTAGGAGAGAGGGAACCCTACACATGGGGCGGGGGGTGTGGGGGTGTCAGAGTCCTGGAGGTGGGGGTCACCGGCACCTCAAAGAGGTGCCCTGAAGAAGCCAGAGTGCAGGGGAACACGGAACAGGCCAGAGAAAGCACAGGTAGCAGGTCCGCAAGGACAGGCAGACGCAGCATCAGGTGAGGGTCGGCCGGGGCACCTGTGGGGTCCATCCAGAGGCAGGGAGGGGAGGAGACGTGCAGGGAGCAGAGGCCGTGGCTGAGGGGGCTGGAGCCAGAGGCTGGGGGGAAGGAGCGGGATGCAGGACCTGCCGAGTGACTGCCCTCAGAGGGGGCAGGTCCCTGGGGGAGGAGCTGCAGGACTGTCTGGTAACCCGAACTTCTAGCAAGAAGCCAGGAGGAAGGCCCAATGGCAACCAAGCCTCAGGACCACTTCTATCTGCACAGAGCTCCGGGTGACCTGGGTCACATGTGTCACAAGTCCCAGGGCCTCCTGTGCCTCGAGTCCTGTGAATGGGCGTCAGTGCATTTTCTTTTTAAAAAAAACGAACAATCAAGTGTCAGAACCAGCAGGGCAGCCGTGACCCCCAAAGAGCCTGCACGGTGGCACCGCCGCCTGGTCTCCCTGTGGGGACGGGCGTCCCTGGGGCACTCAGGACTCCTGCGGTCGGCACCTCTGCCGGGGAAGCAGAGGCACAGAGTCCCATGCTGTGCGCTGGAAACGCCGGGGATTTAAAAAGCAAACGACACCACCACCAGAAAGCAAAACTGGTGTCTGGCTGCTGCTCCCAGGCATCCCGGCTGAGCATGTGAGGCTGGGGGCGGCCTGGCAGCAGGATTTCAGTGCTGTTCCAGGATCCCACCAGGAGGCCCAGCTCCGGACCTTCGTCAGCATGCCGGCAGCGGAGAGCCCAAGCATTAAAAGAGGGGAGGGTGCCGCGCAAAGACCCCAAGTTCTGGATTGGTCTCTGTAGGCGCTCAAGCAGGGGGGCACCCGCCACCTTCCTTCTGGGCTCCAGAACAGTGATTTTCAACCTTTTTCATCTCATGGCACACATACCCTAATCACTAAAATCTGCAGCACACCAAGAAAATATATATACTTTTACCAATCTCACACACACAAAAAAATAGGTATAACTTTGCTTCACTTCCATCAGATGGCTACTGTTGTGTCGGCTGTTAGGATTTTGTTACTTGACAATCGAAGGGAAAAGAGGTTGGTGCCCCTGATGAAATATCAGATATTGCGTGTTTCAGAAATTCTTGTGCAGGCCAGTGGGAAGCCACTCGTCTAGAGCCATCGAGCGACGGGACAGGTGCAGCGGGTGGGCGGTCCCTGGGTTTCTGCATTCCAAGAACTAGGGACACGCACCTCCAGCCTCCATACTGCAGACGGAGGGAGGGCTGCCAAGTTTCTAGTTCATAGAACATATTTTAAGAAACAGAGCTATCTGCTGTTACCATCGCTGCATAAAAGATCAGACATTTTAACCCCAAAATATACAATTTGAAGGTAGCTGACAGGTTTTTAAACTGCATGCACACAGCCGTATGAAGAACTCGCTGCAGCCGTCTTCACATCTCTCGTGAAAAGCTTGTCAAGTATCGGCATTTAGCAACTGCTGCACTAGACTAACTTACTTCGCTTATAAAACTGCAACACATTAAAGGGTGTCTGAGGTTCTTTCTTCACCTCTAAGGCTCCATGATTCTACAGTTCCCACGCTGTCCGGCCCTATGCCCTCCTCCCCAGGAGTGAAGCTTTCCTGGCAGGCAGGCTTTAGAAACACCCAGCAAACACATCTTCCATCCACACGTGTGTCGATGGCTCCCAGTGACCACCTTCAGACAGATCCACCAGGACACAGCGCAGGGGCCACCCCAGGAGAAAATGGCTTGACTGCTCAAAACCAATCAGGTGTCTTCTCAAATAGTAACTTTTTCCGTATAAGGAAGGCACTACATGTCAATTTTACTTTTGAACTATCCACAAGCTTACGCTAGCAAATCACCAAAAAAATCAGGACAGCACAGACAGACTCCGAGGGGAGCGGGGGCGTCACACTGGCCCGCCGGCAGACGAGGAAGAAGGCCTCGCTGTCCCGGGCAAAGCCGGCTTCCTGGGCGACGCTGCCATCACAGCATCCTGCCTTTCTCTGGGGGAAGGTACTAGGAGGGTAACTCTTCTCAGGGTTTCTAAGCACGCACAGGGCACTCTGGTCTCGCATGCACCTGGCCTCAGGGCGGAAGCCCGTGCCGTGCGGGTGGGCACAAACCACCTCGGGTGACCAGCAGAGATGCCATGGGCTCATGGAGACCAAAGGCGTCATCAGATACCATCCACTGAGCGTCTCCTTGGTCTCCTGCTCATTCTTAAGTCTTCTGTTCTGTTTTTAAATCGCCACCACGAAGCACTAGTGGGGCAGGACACCTGCGAGGAAGGAATGGAATGCCAGGGGCACAGGCACCAGGGCACGGGGGTCAGCGCCGACCATCTGTCCCACCAGAGGGGAGGCTCAGCCAGAAGAGGTCTGTCTGTTCGGGGCCTCAGGTGACAGGCACTCACACGTCCCCTAGCAACCTTTTCACCCCGGGGCTTGCAGGTGTAGTCCTGGGACTCTGCCAGTTCGCTTCATACATGTTTAAATGTTTAAAAACTTTGATGGTCAAAAACTAATTTACACGTGTTTTGGACCATCTGGTTGACCATTCTAACCAAGTGAGCCGCCCAGCAGATGTCAGGGCCAGCTGTCATTGGCTTGGGCGTTCCGGTTCACGCGGCAAAGAGGCTGCTCCCGGAATCCCCGTGGCTGGCGAAGCCTCGCCCCTCCCTCAGCTGCGAGCTGGCGAGCACGGCAGCCCCTCCGACTCCGCCCCAGACAGTGCGGGGTCGCTGCTCGCCTTCACCGAGAGCCCGAGTGATTCCTCCGCCCAGTAAGGTGTGAGAGCACTGAGCCGCAGAGACAGGAACAGAGGAAAACTAAACATGTAATAATTCAGTCACACCCAGTGGAGGCCAAATACCAGCACCGTGTGCCGTACAAACATTCGAAACGGCTCCAGCCGAGCAGAGGGCTGGAGGGGGCAGCCGTCACCGGGCACACAGATGCCCGGCCGTGGCGGACGCACACCGGCCTGCACCCGGGCTCCCCGCAGCAGCGCTGGACCGCTGGGGCCTCCCTACCAGCCCAATGCCATCTTCGCATTTGGAATATAATGTTAATTGCAGATTTATTTTGGTTTGTAGTTGTATGTAAGAGTTCTAAGCAAAAGGAGTTTGTGTGAAGTTTTATATTTAAGTAGAATTTTTAAAATTGGGTCCATAGCTCAGACAGTGTGACTCGGTTGGAACATCATCCCTGTAAACCGAAAGGTCACGGGTTCAATTCCCAGTCAGGGCACATACCTAGGTTGCGGGTTCAGTTCCTGGCCAGGCGCATACAAGAGGCAACAAACCAATGCTTCTCTCTCACATCAATGTTTTTCTCTCTATCTGTCTCAAATCCGCAACCCCACCCTTCCCCTCTCTCTAAAATCAATCAGCATGTCCTCGGGTAAGGATAAAAGAAAAATGGGTCAACATTGGGTATCCAAGTAGTATTTTTCTTTAAAATGGGTGTTATTTGTTCTTGACTCAAAATTGAGCATCCACTACTCACTGGGACACAGGCCTCGCAGAACTTAAAAATCCGCGGGAGCTCTGGAACCGAAGGCCGACATTCCTCTCCCGTGGCAAGCCACGCGGTGCTCAGCACTGTCAAGGGCTGTGTGAGCTCTAAGATGCTCCCCCCACCCCCATGGAGAACAGACTTCACTCCCAGGGACAAGTCCCCTGAGTCAGCAGTCTGGGGAAAGAGAGCGCGGAGGGGCACTCGAACAGCAACAACAAATCCAAGGTGTGAAGTCAGCGAGAAAAAGTAACACCGCGGGGAAAAACGGGTTCTGTTCTGCCGGTGACATCATCATCACAGAGACACCCACTCCTTGTGTTCTCCATCATTCTTTATATTCACCTAAGTTCTAATCCAGTCATATGCTATGGAAGAGTTAGCATGCTTTTTATTTGCTTATTTAGACATTTTGCTCCTGAGCTATCATCTGAACACCTCCACGAATCCTTCCAATCCGGCACGTACACTACATATAAAGTCCCCATGACATGGCTGGTTCAGCAGTTCAGAAAACGAGCCACATCTGCATAAATACACACGTGACATGGCTATCCTAGCACAGGTACATATACACAAATGCCTTGTCAAAAATATCTTTCTATTAAAAGATTTACTTGTGAATGGACAGAGATTATGAGGTCATTTTCCATAAAATCTATTTTTTAGATCCATCAGCCAGAAAATAGCTTTCTTATATATGAACGAAGCATTATTGAATCACAACTTCATAAATTTTAACTACATAAAAATCGACAATTGAAAGCCTCATAGTTTCTAATATTACTACTGAAATTCACTATGCCAATCCTCTAAAACTGTCCTGAATAACCATTTTTAGATTGATTTTAGAGACAGAGGAAGGGAGACGTGGGGGTGTGGAGGGAGGGAGGGGGAGGGGAAGAGATGGAGACAGATAGGGAAATTTGTTGTTCCTCTAACTTTGCATTCATTGGTTGATCCTTGTACGCCCCTGACTGGGGACAGACCCTGCAACCTTGACGTATCAGGATGATGCTCTAACCACCTGAGCTGCCTGAGCAGGGACTGAATAACCATTTTTAAATGCAATTCACAGTTTCTCTAGCTTTAAGGAATACTCACATCCAGCTTTTATGAGAAACATAAATACGTTATTCCCTCACTGCAGTAAACAAATTCTCCACAGCCCCCTCAGAGTTTCAATCTAGTCTATTGCCCCTAAAGGAAAACCTCAGCCTTGGGGAAGTGGCTCGGCTGGTCGGAGGGTCATCCCGTACACCAATGGGTTGTGGGCTCGATCCCCAGCTGGGGCACACATGGGAGGCAACCAACTGATGTTTCCCCCCACCACCTCCCCTTCTCTCTAAAATCAATAAACACATCCACGAATGAGGATTAAAAAAAGCGCAATTCAGGGTGGAATGAAACTAAGGTTGGAAGAAGCAGGTACTGAGTTAGCAAACCCCAACAACAGGAACTCCAGACAGCCTGTCCAGAAGTGGCACGTGACCAGGGAACCGCGGACTTGTCTTGGGTCCCTCACTCCCGCTTCCAGACGCCACAGCACTGCCCAAACAAGGGCGTGAGCACAAACCCAACACAGCACCCCCCAGGGCTCCTGACACCCAGGTATCTGACAAGAGTTGCTTTCGAACAAAAAGAACCTTCTTAATTCACTTAGATGATCGGGACCCTGCTGGACTCACACAAAGGTGAGGGCACACAAAGTACTGCACTGGTCACACTCCTATAACGATACCCACAATGGGTATCTTGGACTAACCAAGAAACAGGAGAATGCTTATGGGGCTCGTATTCTTGTGTTGAAATAAACCAAGATTCCCTGTAAAGCCAGTCTTCGATAAAGAGGTACAAGAAGTGGGTGAGACTAGCACTTCATCCACCGTAATGTCCACCTCGGCCTCCATGCCAAGGACGGTGCTCTATTAAGTCAAACTGTGGTGTTATCACAGGGCCTGCTGTTGCCCTGAGCACCAAGGCCCCGAGGCGAGTTCGGACTGGGCGGGCCTTCCCACCACACCCAGGGGGCTGTGTTATGATGAGAAGGAGTTAAGTCATCGTTGCCATGAGAGGCTCTGCTTATGACATCTGTTCCTCTGTAAAACAGTCTGGTTAGTACCCAGGAATAAAAACAATAATAAATGGATTATTTTGGTGGTGTTAAGGGAAGAGATAGAGTAAACTATCCCCAGGAAGCTGAAAAACCAAATCCTAAAGCGGGGGGGGACGGGGTGCGCGGGGAGGAATAAAAGAGGACCCAAGGGACTCAAGAGAATTAAATCTCAAATGCCCTGCCAAGATTTAGACATATACAGGTAACTTCCCCAAAGTCTTCAAGAAGTACCACTGAATTCACCACTCTTCACTTGACTCGGGGCCCCAGCCATCATTAAGTGCCCTTCGGTATTGGAAATTAAAGTGACTAACGGCACTGCTTGACCTTGGAATTACTTTACAGACACAAAACCAGGGAGATGAAGTTCTCCCACTGAGACGGCTACCCCACAAGGCAAGAACGTGAGCCCTGACCCCGCAGCCCCTCAGGACGTGAGGGGCGGGTGCGCGGTGAGATCGCACTACTGAACAGTTCTGCTGACCTGCAAAATGAGAACGAAGTAGTCTACAGGCTTGTTGCGCTGGTAGAGGTAGTATTCTGGGGCTTTCTTGTTCTTCTCGTCAAACTTCAGCTCCTGGATGACATTGGGGTGCTTTAGCAGCCTTAGGAGGATCTTCTCTGACATCTGGGATGGGCTAAATGCTTCTACTTCTACAGATACAAACACAACTTGACATTACACTTCAAATGGGCAGAAAAGGTTCTATTAGTGATTAAAGTGTTCAGATAATAAGAATACTTGGAATCAGAGTGACACGGTATGAATGAGCGAGACTTCCGTTGGGTGAGCCACTGGGGGCAGATTACCTGGGAGAAATCAGAAAAATGCTCAATTTTCGCATTTGTGTCTTTAAAATTCTTCCCCTTCACTGGTTTCCCTCCTCACCAAAACACCCTAATCATCCGACTGACACAAACGGAACCCAACCAGATGCAGGCTCCCTGACCGCCAGGAAGCCCTTCAGCAGCCACAACAGCCTTGGCTGTCTGACCACAGCCAAAGGGAGAAGCGAGGTCAGCAGCGTCTCAGTGGGGTTAGTGCCAGGCACTCGACTCAGAGGTGCACAACTCAGGGCCCACAGACTCAGGGCCCACGTCTCCTTTTCCCGCTCAAACGCCCAGGACGGTCCGGGACGGGACCACGGAGAGAGACTCGGAGTACAGCAAGGCACGTGCACACACTGGCATGCACTCCAACTTGCTCGACTGAAAAAAAAGTTATGTTGATCTATATTTACAAAGGCATCCGTTTTATTCAAAATAAAAACCAGAAACTGGGCTGCATGGTGTCTCAGAGGCAGAGTAGGATAACATTTCGTTTTACATTGCGGTTCTTAAATGATGAACATTTTTCAGAATCAGAGAAAGAATAAACAAGTATGTTAAAGATAAGTTCATAAGTTTAAAAAAATTTTAAATTATATATGAAAATTATAAATTCTGTACTAGCTTCTGTGCTTTTTCTGTAATAACAAAGTGAGATGGTACATTGCAGAAGTTTTGGAAAATACAGAAAAAGTTAAAGAGGACAATAAAAAATTCCCTATAAACCAACCACGTGTAACCATTCTGAGCAATTGGTGGTGAGCGTTTCTTCCCAATGTCTGCCTTCCCAATGTCTGCCTGGGCGTGTGAGCCTGCGTATGAGTGTGCACGTGCAAAACATAACCATAGTCTTCTATACACACAGTTTTACAGCCTGTTCCTCCTCACTTTACATTCAGTTCTGAGCATTTTCCCGTGTCATGACTGTTAGGTTGTGAGCATTCCCACGGTCTGAAAACATGATCTTAAAGAACTGTAACACCTCTCACATGGCTGCTGGCAGCCTTCTTTGCAAACCAGGCTGAGTGCACTGCCCGCAGCTGAGAGGCTCTGGCTGCCCATCTCGGACGCAGACGTCTTCGACAGGTCACTGGGTGCTTGTGGATTTCCTCGCCCTTCCCTGGCCCCCAGAGCTCACCCTTCACCTAGACAGCCACTGGGGATGTGAGAAGGGCTAGTCAGTCTCTTAAGTCCACTCAACTCTGACCTCCCTGGAGCAGCCAGTGCCGGTTGGGTTGGTGGTTTTAATAATGTGCACGCTTGCCTCCTGGAACGGGCCCAAGTTAACAACCTGATCTGAAGAGGCCAGCAAGAAATCCACGTCCGAGGCCTTAGAATTTATGATTTCATTAAAACCATAAAAAATTTAGTTTTGAAAATTTATTTTTTCTTCTTTGCAAATCACAGCACCTGCGTTACCACTGATATCCACCTGTTCTTCCAAGGCAAGCTGAAGAGAGAGTTTCCTCCACTGTCCAACACACAGTGAGGTGGTGTCTGCTTCGCACTGTCAGCCTACTCCTCCAGCTGCTCCCCGAGACTTAGCTGGAAGCGGATGGCCTGGCCTACCGTTCACATGCAGTGTGGCACTAACATTCATCCTTACCTTTCAGACCAATTTTAAGTTACTGGTCCACCCCTGGAAAATGTCTCAGAGAGTTCATGCCGACACTGAACATAGGAGAGGAGAGAATTTAAAAAGAAAAGAAAACAAAACAAAACAAAAAACAAAACACAAAAGTGGCATTACTTTCACCCCATCTCCCAGTCTCCGCCCCAGCCCAGCCCAGTCGGTGGTGGGTGAGAAACACGCTCCAGGGTTGGTAGAGATTTCAAACGCTGATAAGCTGCACTTGCCTGTTGCTAGGAAACGGTGCATGGCCAAGAGAAGCTGTGGTGATATTTTAACCTTCATCTCGCTGTCTGTCTGCTTAAAGGCAGAAAAATCTTGCTTTCTCTCACGATGGGCCACTTTCTTTTTCGTTCTGTTATCCGCTGAGGAAAGAATAAGAAAAAAGAAGGAAGTGCATTCCATCAGGTCAGGGCTCTTTCTGAACGAAAATAACAAAGTACACTGGAAAGGCTAGACTCACCAGATTGTGGACACTTTACCCCCAAACCCCGAATGGAAAGAAGGAAAGGAGGATCCTCATCGAATCAGAGCTGCATGGTCGTAACACCATCCAAAGTAAGTAACAGGCAACCTGATCAGGAGCAACTATAAACATGCTTCATGAAGCTCTCCAGAGCTTTTACGAGTCCAAATTGGGCAGCCTTGGGCAAAAGCCCTCCCCTCACAGAACCTACAGCACCTCACAGCAAAGAGGACGTGGCCTGGAGTGCACAGCCTCCTGCTGCTCAAGGTCACCATGCTGCAGTAAAAAGCAGCCGCTGTGCTACAGTGCACACCGGGGAGTGTGCCTGCCTTCAAGAGGCTCCTAGCCTGTGCTCAAAGAAAAAACAAATACACAAGCAAAATCTCTGAAGAAACAAAAACACTTTCACAGAAGAGCATTTTAGTAGTAACATCTGTTCGCTACATTTCCACCCCAGACCATGAGATCCTCAAGGTCAAGCAAATACGAAGAAAGTGATCCGGAACGAGGTCAGTCTACTTCCCCTGTGAGGGACTAGGTGGTAAATGTTTCAAGCTCCGAAGACCATGCGGTCTCTGCTGCAGCTTCGCAACTCTTGCTGTTCAACAAAAGCAGCCATATGTGAATGAGTGAGAATGGTTGTGTTCCAATAAAACTTTATCGCAGATATGAAATTTGAATTTCATGACATTTTCACATGTCACAAAACAATTCTTCGTTTGATTTTTTTTTTCAACCATTTAAAAATTCTAAGCTTGGGGGCCATACAAAACCAGCTGGCAATCACTCACAGACTGTAGTTTGCCAACCCCTGATCTAGAAGATCTAGTGCAAAACCTTTTTTTCAACTATTTTTCTGGACCAAAAATGACCGAGGAAAAAACTAGGATAAAGGCAAGGCCCCAGATGCTTACACTTTTTCCCAAGAATGAAAAGTCTGCACTACCATTTCATGCCCATGGTGAAACAGATTGCTTACTAGGCTTTCCCTGGAAGAAGATGGTTACAATTTATAATTTCTTCTATCTCAAATTCCTTTGAGAATCAGACAGTATAAATCCACACAAAATTTTAAAATAATTTTCTAATGACAAAAGTCATCATCCCTGAACACTTATCTAAACCAAGAATATACATGAAACCGCCCTTATTGATATGGCTCAGTGGGATGGGCACCTTCCCACAAACCAAAAGATCACTGGTTCGATTCCAGGTCAGGGCACATGCCTAGGTTGTGGGCCAGGTCCTGTCTGGGGGCACGTGAGAGGCAACCAATCAATGTTTCTTTCCCTCTCTTTTTCCCTCTCTTCCCCACTCTCTAAAAATTAATAAATATCATCTTTTCTTTAATGAATATTCATGAAACCACAAGCTCAGCATTGCATATCAGTAAATTATATTAGGCAACATTTCTGTATGAAATCAGTCTAACCAAGGTTTGAAAGAAGTTAACTGAAGTACAAACGTAAGACCTCATTAATGTCTAAATTATCTTTCTTATGATGAATACCACCTCTGGGAAAACACGTTAAGTATACACAGGCACACTTGGTATCAAAGAGTCACTATGAGGAACAATGAAAAGAATGTAGACACACACAATATTCTCTACTATGAGACCTCCAACTATTCTCCAAGTGTCAAAAGGATAAACCACACAGAAACTGGTGTTTTTTAAGAACACTACACAGATGTGAGGAAAAAATAAGATACCTTTCAAAAGCAGGTCATTGGGTAATAAAAAATTTATTCTTTTAACAGTACATAGAAGACTCTCTCAATTTTAAAATAAGGGATATTCACTCTGGCTGATGTGGCTCAGTGGATTTGAGGGCCTGTGAACCAAAGGATCACCGGTTCAATTCCCAGTCAGGGCCCATGCCTGGGTTGAGGGTGAGGTCCCCAGAAGGGGGCACTCGAGAGGCAACCACACATTGATATTCCTTTCTCCCTCCCTTCCCTTCTCTCTAAAAATAAATAAATAAAATCTTTAAAAAATAAGGGACATTCCCGTGGAACCAAACAAAATCACTCTGCTTGGAGCAAGGTGGGGTTTGTCCTGAGTGCCCCAGGCCGTTTGGAGAATCCACTTCTCACCTCCAGATCACGTTTCCAAAGCCAACAGGACAAACAGAGCCCACGTGCTCTTCCTCTATCCCATCTCTGAGACCCCAAACATCTCGCGCCTTGGCCATCTCTAGCATTTTGGAACCTTGAAAGAATCTTATTTAGCTAAGAGTGAGGCTAAGGAAGACTTAAGCTCCACAGTCCAATGACCCAGTTGTAGGCTTAAGTAGGACAGGGTTCAGGTTCCACACTGGACCCAGGATCTAGCCCTGTCCTGGGCAAACAGGTGTGGATGTCCCCCATTCCCTCCCCCTGCGGATCCACGCCACTCCTCACCCCACCCCCAGGAAGGCAGAGAAGCAGAAAAGGGGGAAAACCCCCTTTTAGAGATTTTATTTATTTCTTGTCAGAGAGAGGGGAAGGGAGGAAGAGGGTGAGAGAAACATCAACACGCCTCCCACACACCCCAAATGAGGACCAGGCCCGCAACCCAGGCACGCGCCCCAACCGGGATTGAACCACTGACCTTTTGGTTCACAGGCTGGTGCTCAGTCCACTGAGCCACACCAGCCAGGGCAGAAAAACACATTTTTATTGTGTATCCCACCCTGTCCTGTCTCCTATACCCCACCTCACCTCCAGTGCCCAGCACAAAACTACACATGCAAACCTCACCTCCACCCTGATCCACAGGAGCAAGAAAATGTAAACAGTTGTTATCACCAATTTAACAAATCCCTGCCACTTTTTAAGTACTTGAACTGTGACCTTAAGTAGAAACAGAAGTTTATCTGAAAATAATTTACCTAACTGTGCAAAATGAAGTTTTCTGGTCAGGGCAAGTGGTGCCCAGATCAATGGTTAGGAGAGGCTGGCTTTTCAAACACACACACACACACACACACACACACACACACTCACACACACACACGTTGCCAGCTGATATCACAGGACCTGCCCCACTGCCCCCCCCGCCGCCGGTGAAGGGACAGGACGGCACTGATGGGTTGTGCACAGCCCACACACAGGGCGCACGATTGGAGATGGGCGGACGACACCTGGAGAGACGTCAGGTGACTCACAACCAACGTGGCCACAGAAGCGACGGTGTGGGGAAATGACCTTCAGGCGATGCTACTCACTGTATAAATCTGTTTCATCTAGAATCTCAGATTTGATGATTTCTTCAATCACATCTTCTAAGGTGACAATTCCCAGAACTTCATAAAATGGGTCCCCCTCTCCCTCATTGTTTACTCGCTGCACAATAGCCAGGTGAGATTTACCTTCAAAGAAAAGAAAACAAAGGTCAAGAGGTAAGTTTCTGAATTTCCTGAATAAAGTCTTACGGATGATCATGGAGAAAACAGCAGCAGCAAACACAGATGGCAGGTTACTGAAGTCTGCACTTTGGCGTGTAAACTGGTAAGGAGACACCACGGATGGGAAAGCTCCCTGGGCACCCAGGGCAAGACCAGTCAAGCCAGCAGGGACCACCTTCTCCACACGCTGCGCTGCCCCCACGTCACCCTCTGTTCCCAGTGGAAGTGGTCTGCAGTAAAGTGAGCTCTCCCCGTGTGACCTTTCAGCGACTGCCACTTTCCTTTAGGAGAGCAGTTCCGGGGACCCCTGAGGAAGCACAGGACCCTTACAGAAGGTATGCGAAGCCAAACTGCCGGCGTCTGAGCCCAGGGCACACAGGGGCCCGGGCACACCTCAGGACAGCGGGCGGGCGGGCGCCCTGGCCTCACCAGAGCCTCCACCTCCACACCTAGTAAAAAAAGGAGGTGGGGGTCCGTTTCTCTTAAGAACGCCCTTCACGAGGCAGTAAACTCTTAAATTTCATTGAATCTTGACCCCCAAGCACCTGTCTGTGAATATCCTACGTGACACCATGGGGAGGGCCATGAGACACCTCCGCAGTGTCGGGAGGAAATGCACGTGTGCCAAGTTTACTTGAAAGAATAACTACCAGGCAAACCATGGTACTTAGACCTACGTGGCAGACATTTTCCTAGAAACGAAGGAAAAGAGGCTGTCACATTCACAGAAAGCAGCAGCAGCACTGGCCACCACATGACACACGGGCAGCCGCACCTTGGCCACCTGGGTGTTCAGGGAATGTTCTCTGGTTTCTCCACTGTAAAGTTACTCATTCCTCCCTTTCCCTGATTTTGGTCTTGGGAAGCATGTCAACAGGTCTAGCCCCCCCTCAGGGTGGGTGACAGGGAGCAATGAAACTCTACTTCTTGGAATGGGTTGGGATCTAAATATCTTATTCAGAATTCTTTGAAAGGAAGAATTCAAACCAAAGGATTTTAGTGTGACTGCACCCAAAGTCCACTGGTGTAGTTTCAGATTCTACATTGCAACAAACCTTTAAAGAAAACAGAAGACTAAAACAGAAAAAACAAGCAACGAACCTTTAAGAAACCATCACTTATGCAGTTTTGGTGTAGTATCAAAACAGAGTATCTGCAATTGCCCAGAAAGACTATTAAAATAGACCCCCCTTTTCCAAATACATATATCTGTGTAAGGCCAGATTTTCCCCACACATTTCAACTAAAACATCTACTTGATTAAATGCAGAAAAGAATCTAGTTGCCTTCTAATTTGCTAGATAATAAAGATATTTGCAAAAAAAGGTAAAATAATAACATTTCTTAATATTTTTGTTTTGGACAATAGTGATTTTCAAGTTAAATGTTATTTAGGTTAACATAAAATGGATTTATTGTTGTCCTTTCAAAATGATGTCCTGGCTGGTGTGGCTCAGTTGGTTGGGTATCGTCCAGCAAACCAGAAGGTTGTGGGTTCGATTCCCAGTCAGGGCACATGCCTGGGTTGTAGGTTTGGTCTCCGTTCAGGGCACATATGAGGAGCAGCTGATCAATGTTTCTCTCTCACATCAATGTTTCTCTCCCTTTCTCCTTCTCTTCTCCTCTCTCTAAAATCAATATATATGTCCTCAAGTGAGGATTAAAAGATAATAAATAACTAAATACAAAATGAATTAATAGGCCCTGGCTGAGTAGCTCAGTTGGTCAGAGCATTGTCTTGATACACCAAGGTCATGGGTTCGATCCCTGGTCAGGGCACATACAAGAAACAACCAGTGAATGCATAAATAAGGGGAACAACAAATTGATGTTTCTCTTTCTCTTTCTCTAAAAAAAGAAAGAAAAAAGAAGAGAAAATAAGTAAATGTGAATTTCTCAGGTTTAATTTCAAACACTGTGAATACCAAACAGTATAACCCACAGGGAAGAACATGTGCTCCCAGTCGAACGGTCCTGGATTGGAACTCCGACACCGCCAGTTAATTCACCATTACTGGCTGTGTGTTCATGAGCAAACTATGTAATTTTTCTGAGCCTCAGTCTCCTCGCCTCCAAACCAGGCTCATAATAATCAATGCCCACAGGATTGCTGTGAACCTCAGAGATATAATGTTGGTATCTAGAACAAAGACAGTGCCTGGGGTCCACAGGGTGATCAATAAATGGTAACTCCTATTAATTGATTAATATTCTTCAATTATAAGGCATCATCAATTTACTACCAGCTTGGGCAACGAAAAGAAAAACACTACATTAAAACACACACTGTGATTAAAAGATACACTTCAATTTCAGAAAGACCTTTTAAAATAGTAAACTCATCTCTCACACTGATACTGGTGTTCCCAGTACAAGGTATGTGAGGCATCTGAAGCACATCCTTAAAGTAAGCCAAGCACACATAGTACAGAAACTCCAAGGTCAGTTAACATGTATATTGTTTTCTTTTTAAATCATAGGATGGGTTTTTTTTTGGGGGGGGGGGGTTCAGAGTGGGGGAGGCAGTCCTTTAAATAACGTTTACATAAAACCATGAGTTGGTCCAGTTCCTTCGGACACCAGACAAAGGGAAAGGCTCCCTGAAGGCCAAGTCCATCGCGTTCCCAGCGCTCGCGCAGGAACCGCCTTTGGTTCCTGGGGCTGTTGGCCCGTTCCTGCTCTGGCTCAGACCCCTTTCGAGGCAACAGTGTCTGGAAGCCTACAAGGTTAGATTGCTAGACAATTAGGCATCCTAACAATTTTCATCCTTAGCATGGTCATGCTCAAAGAATGAAAATATTTTCAGCAAACGAGACTATGAGCAAAACCTATCAGCCACAGATATAAACACGGGCTCATCCGGCCAAGTCGATCCTCGGCTGGTCAATTCAGTCCGGTCAGTTTCTCACATCTGCTTTCCCAAGAACCCAAACATAAGCAGTTAAAAATTCTTGGTCAATGCTGTCTGTCGAAAGTTAAATTCTTTTGCTATTCCCAGCTTGTGATCATTTAAAAGGAATTTTCCAAAGCAAGGTCTAATATTAGACTCAAATGAAGTTTCCATTCCACTGAGGCGCTATTCTCACCAAAGTAACTACCGCATAATCAGATTGTCTTGGAGCAATTCGTTTACATGCAGATGGACATACTTGAAATACCAGCTCGAGAGCACCAACAGATCCGGCTGGAAAGGGCCTTACTCTCGGGGAAACTGTTCTTGTGCGGGAGGCTTCTCAGACTAAAAATTAAATTTTCTGTGGGGCTTCTTTTCACACCCCCACCTCCAATGCTGAAACTCCTGCGTCTGTCCCAGAGCCCATTCTTTCAGATTCTGAATTCCGGGTGAGAAGTCCTGTTTTCTGAACCTTCTTTCTGGTAAACAATACAAAAAAAAAAAAAAATGACAACCCTCTTCACTAATCACCCTTTTGGAGACTGGCAATACAATGCACCCACCCCCCACTGAATCACTCACTGCAGGAAGTTGCGCCGTCAGCCTCGTCAATGGAGCGATCAAGAGGAAAATGCAAACAAGTTGTCAATACAGAAAGTGTAAAACCTCAAATAGCATCCTTCTTAACCTGAGCACTGGAGGGATTAAGTCAGGACCCAAAGCAGAAAAGCAATTTTGAGGAAACTAACAAGAAACCAAGCCAAAAACTAAAAAATGTTTATTAACTGGTGGATTCTTAACTTCTAAAGAGAAGAATGAAAATACAGCAATCAGTACAATATGCAATTACAGACACTTTGTAACACAAACCTTTAAACAGACGTAAATTAAGCAAACCCAATAAACTGCATAGGACAAACAAAGCAGACACGGCCGCCACAGCTAGGGCTTGCAGAGAGCCCTTTCTGGCTAGCTGCAAGAGTTCTCGCGGAATTCCAGTCACTTTGAACCGTTAGGAGTGGAGGAAAAGGGGATCTTGCAGAGAATCAAAGCAAGCCTGTTTTCAGAGTACAGGGCCGTACGGATACATCTCCACTCAGATTCGGAATCGTAAGCAAGTTAAGATGAAGTGATAACCTAGGGTGATCGTTTTCCTACAACTGCCATGTGCCCGAGGCAGGGCACTTCCACAGATGGACTCAGAAGGACATGTCTTCACCATGAGGTGCGCTGAGTAACTCAAATTATCTATAAACAGTAAACTTGGGATCAGATTTCTGCCTCTGGTTGCTGCCACTGCTCCTCAATCAAAATGTATTTGCATCTCTTCTCTGGATTGGTAAAGCAGCCCAGAGTGGTAGCAGGCCGCCACATATGCCTCTTTGAACCTTACCACAAGGTGAGGCTCCAATTCTGAATGATAGATTCCATTTGTACGTCGATGGATTCATCTACTGGACAGTGATCAGGCTGACAAAGGGCACTCAGAACTGTGGAAAATATGGACTCATTTGTATCATGCAAGGCTGGTGCCAATGGAGTGAAATAGAACAGCAAGCGGACGGACTGAGATGTCCAAGGGAGAAAGCCACAAGGAAGATGAAGAAGGATGGGGTTAGGAACAACTGGACACAGCTGTGCTGACACAAAGGGGCATGCAGTAGTCAGAAAGACCTAGCAATGTGAGCACAAGGCGGAGTCCGTGGGGCCTTAAAATGCCACTCAAAAAGCAGAAAGAAAACAGAAGTTTCAATTATGAGAAACTCAAGCAAAACAGTTCACAGTCGCCATTACTCCAGGGGGCACCGTCCGCATGGAGTGCAAGGCTTAATCGTTCCCCCAAAGCTGCATCACGCTGGGGCCCCTCACTAACCGAGGGTCGGGCAAAGGGAGCACTTAATATGCCTTTGTTTTTAAAGAATTCCCAGTTTATCTAATACAAATTACAATAATTCAACAAGTAAGAATCAATTAAGTTTATAAGACAGAGTTCTGTGGAAGCAGTAATACAGGAAGAAAATGCTCTGTACGTCAGAAATATAGGTCCCACATAACTAAAACAAGATGCGAT